TTGTGTTATTACTCGGTGCCCAGTGAGGGTTGGGGTCAGTGAGCAGACAGCGCCCCCCTCTGGCGGGTGGCGGTGGTTCCCGGATGCGGCGCGGGAGCTGAAGATGGCGCAGGCGGCGATATTCGAGGCGTTGGCAGGTAGTGACCCCTCGAGCCCCGCGCGCCCCCCACCCCACCCCCCGCCCCCGGCACCGGCACCGCGCTGCCCGAGCCCGAGGCCCTGCCTTGCCCTGCGGCCCGGGCCCGGGGGGGAGGGGGAGGGCCCGGGGGGGGGGGGGGGACGGGGGAGACGGGGCTATTGTTCCCACAAAAAGGCATCTTTGTCCCCGGGAACAGCAGCTCTTCGCCCCCCGGAGTGGGAGCCCGACCCCGGGGCCCTGAGGCCGACTGCAGGCCCGGCCCGGAGCCCCGGGCTGTGTGGGGGTGGGGGCGGCCCTCAGGGAGGGGAGGCCCAGGGCTCCTCACCCCCACAGTCACCCTCTCACCCCCACAGTCAACCAAAAGAACCCAGGTTCGATTCCCGGTTGGGCCGAAACCTCAGGCAGGTTTCCTTAACGTGATAAGGCGCTACATCAAACGTAAGGATTATTATTATATATTTTGAGATTTTAGGTGCTATGTTATTAATGTGTGTGTCTCTGCTGTTAGTGAGTCTCTGTATTCTCCTGTTAATCGCTACCCTGTGTTTGCTGCAGGAATCAAGCCGTACAAGTGTCAGTACTGCAGTAAGAGCTTCAGCCGACGCGCTCACATGTTGGAACACCAGCACTCTCACACCGACACCTACAGCATTCGCTGCCCCAGCTGTGGCAAGGGCTTCACCAGGGACAAGTACCTCAAGCAGCACAAGTGCCGACTGTACGCCGGCCGGGACGAGGAGCGGCCAGAGCGCAAACGGCGCTACTGGGTCCGCAAGAAGCCGGTGGTCCGCACGGCCAAGCGGGCGTTCGTGCCCGGGCCTGTGCCGGAGCGCAGAGACGAGGCCTGTCAGGCGCGGCTGGGCCCTGAGCGGTACGAGGAGCACGTGATCATTCTGTCGGAGTCGGAGGACGTCAGCGGGACGGAGAACACCACAGACGCTGGGGGGCTGAACGGCTCAGCGCCCTCCAACACTGCCCTGTCAGCCTTGCGGACGGGCCCCAGCCTGGCCCTGCTGGAGGTTCCTGTTTACATTCAGGCCTCGGACTGAAAAAGTTACAGACAAAACTTTTTTTTAAACGTGTAAATAAAAACTTGGCAAGAGATCATGACTGAAAGAACTAGTATTAACATGCAGCGCAGCCTTTCATTCTGCCCTGACGTCTGGAGAATAAGACTTGCGCCCAATCCGTAGAGTTCAGGAATCCAGAGAGAGTTGATCATCCTGGTGAAAGAGTCTGGAGCACAGCGCAGGCCGACTGTTAGCTAAAAGCACACCCTCGCTTTTATCGACGTGGCTGCCGGCCGAGCTGGGACTCCGAACCCCATGAGGAAGAGTGTGGCTGACAGTCTGTGTCCAAAGCACTGACGCTGCACAGTCAGGATCCTGAGGCAGAGGCTTTCTCATCTGAAAGGGCTCATGTTATTAACTCGTGTAATAGAGCTGTCCATCTGACTCCCTTACTCTTCATGCATGACTGTGCGTGTACTTTTTAATGTTCATGTATTTTTGTGTATGTCTGTGACTACATGCCTACTTGTGAGTGTGTGTCTGTGTGTATGTCTCTCTCCATGGCTGGTATGTATTTGTGTGTATGCATGTATGTGAGGCGTGCGTTTGTGGATGTGTGTGTGCGTGGTGTGTGTGTACATCTGTGAGAGACTGATAATAGCCTCTTATGTGGATGAAATTTCATGATTTGTTCGAAGTTTTTCCCAACCATTGAAGTCGAGTTCAAATTTTATTGAATTCTGACTTTTCCAGAACAGACAAAATAAACCTTTGAGATTTTTTTATATCCTGCGTTTGGACTGTTTCTGAGTGTTAGGATATTGCACCCTGTGGGACGCTACCCTGCGTGAGGGGCGCTATATAAATGCAAGTTGTTGTTGTCCTGTTAGACACAAGAGCCTGTGGTGACTTCCAGCAAAGTCCAGTTATCTGGACCTTCCCTTCACATTCTGTCACTTACAGACATTGCTTTCGGTCGCCTCCTCCTGACTGCCTTATCATGTCTTTGAGACGTCTCAAAGCGCTTCATAGACTATACTGTAAAGTAAATTGACTGTATAGTTTGTGGGCGAAACATATCCAAACCAAGCGGAGACCAGGCCCCCGAGCATCCCACCCGCACATGGCAACCGCAAAGACAGACCACTGGACTGTGTGATGGCTCTCTTGAGTCTCATGAAAACAACTGTCCCTTTAAAGAATATTGGTCGGCGGAGGATAAATACAAGGGAGCGCGCCTTTAAGGACGTAGGCCTGGGCGTGCTGACGTCAGGACATCGGCTGTACGTGCGGCCCAGGCGAGGAGAGGCCGGCGGCGGAGCCTGAGCCTGAGAGCCGACAGCGGGAGGGCGGGGCGGGGCGGGGCGAGGGTCAGGGAAGCTGCCCCACCATGAGCCTACTGGGGAAGCTGTTCGGCACCGGGGGGAAGGCGGGCAAAGGCCCGAGCCCCCAGGAGGCCATCCAGCGGCTGCGGGAGACCGAGGATATGCTGACCAAGAAACAGGAGTTCCTGGAGAAGAAGATCGAGCAGGAGCTGAGCACCGCCCGGCAGCACGGCACCAAGAACAGGCGCGGTCAGTCACCCTCAGCCCGGCCTCAGCCCCTCACAGGCCCACACAGGCCCTCACAGGCCCACACAGCCCCACACAGGCCCTCACAGCTCCCACACAGCCCCCACACAGCCCCTCACAGCCCCACACAGCTCTCCAACACAGCCCCATCACAGCTCCACACAGCTCCACACAGCCCCACACAGCCCCCATCACAGCCCCTCACAGCCCCTCACAGCCCCACACAGCCCCTCACAGCCCCCACACAGCCCACACAGCCCCATCACAGCCCCACACAGCCCCATCACAGCCCCACACAGCCCCTCACAGCCCCACACAGCCCCTCACAGCCCCACACAGCCCCTCACAGGCCCACACAGCCCCAACACAGCCCCACACAGCCCCCACACAGCCCCTCACAGGCCCACACAGCCCCAACACAGCCCCACACAGCCCCTCACAGCCCCATCACAGCTCCCACACAGCCCCCACACAGCCCCCACACAGCCCCTCACAGGCCCACACAGCCGCTCACAGCCCCCACACAGCCCCTCACAGCCCCTCACAGGCCCACACAGCCGCTCACAGCCCCACACAGCCCCTCACAGGCCCTCACAGGCCCACACAGCCCCTCACAGCCCACACAGCCCCATCACAGCCCCATCACAGCCCCTCACAGCCCCACACAGCCCCACACAGCCGCTCACAGCCCCACACAGCCCCCACACAGCCCCACACAGCCCACACACAGCTCTCCAACACAGCCCCACACAGCCCCATACAGCCCCTCACAGGCCCACACAGGCCCACACAGCCCCTCACAGGCCCTCACAGCCCCACACAGCCCCTCACAGCCCCACACAGCCCCTCACAGGCCCACACAGCCGCTCACAGCCCCACACAGCCCCCACACAGCCCCACACAGCCCACACACAGCTCTCCAACACAGCCCCACACAGCCCCTCACAGCCCCACACAGCCCCATACAGCCCCTCACAGGCCCACACAGCCCCTCACAGGCCCTCACAGCCCCACACAGCCCCTCACAGCCCCACACAGCCCCATACAGCCCCACACAGCCCCTCACAGGCCCACACAGCCCCTCACAGCCCCTCACAGCCCCACACAGCCCCTCACAGCCCCCACACAGCCCCATACAGCCCCTCACAGGCCCACACAGCCCACACAGCCCCCACACAGCTCCACACAGCTCCACACAACCCCATCACAGCCCCCACACAGCCCCCACACAGCCCCACACAGCCCACACACAGCTCTCCAACACAGCCCCACACAGCCCCTCACAGGCCCACACAGCCCCTCACAGCCCCAACACAGCCCCTCACAGCCCCTCACAGCCCCATCACAGCTCCCACACAGCCCCCATCACAGCTCCCCCCCCATCACAGCTCCCCAACCCCCCCCCATCACAGCTCCCCCCCATCACAGCTCCCCAACCCCCCCCCATCACAGCTCCCCCCCATCACAGCTCCCCAACCCCCCCCATCACGGCTCCCCACCATCACAGCTCCCCAATCCCCCCCCCATCACAGCTCCCCAACCCCCCCATCACAGCTCCCCAATCCCCCCCCATCACAGCTCCCCAACCCCCCCCATCACAGCTCCCCCCATCACAGCTCCCCAATCCCCCCCCCATCACAGCTCCCCAATCCCCCCCCATCACAGCTCCCCAATCCCCCCCATCACAGCTCCCCAACCCCCCCCATCACAGCTCCTCCCATCACAGCTCCCCAATCCCCCCCCCATCACAGCTCCCCAATCCCCCCCCCCATCACAGCTCCCCAACCCCCACCATCACAGCTCCCCAACCCCACCCCCCCATCACAGCTCCCCAATCCCCCCCCCCATCACAGCTCCCCAACCCCCCCCCATCACAGCTCCCCACCATCACAGCTCCCCAACCCCCCCCATCACAGCTCCCCAATCCCCCCCCATCACAGCTCCCCAACCCCCCCCATTACAGCTCCCCCCCATCACAGCTCCCCAACCCCCCCATCACAGCTCCCCAACCCCCCCCATCACAGCTCCCCCCCATCACAGCTCCCCAACCCCCCCATCACAGCTCCCCAACCCCCCATCACAGCTCCCCCCATCACAGCTCCCCAACCCCCCATCACAGCTCCCCCCCATCACAGCTCCCCAATCCCCCCATCACAGCTCCCCAACCCCCCCATCACAGCTCCCAACCCCCCCATCACAGCTCCCCAATCCCCCCATCACAGCTCCCCCCATCACAGCTCCCCAACCCCCCCATCACAGCTCCCCCCCATCACAGCTCCCAACCCCCCCATCACAGCTCCCCCCATCACAGCTCCCCAATCCCCCCCGATCACAGCTCCCCAACCCCCCCCTTCACAGCTCCCCAACCCCCCCCATCACAGCTCCCCCCATCACAGCTCCCCAACCCCCCATCACAGCTCCCCAATCCCCCCCCATCACAGCTCCCCAACCCCCCCATCACAGCTCCCCCCCATCACAGCTCCCCCCATCACAGCTCCCCAACCCCCCATCACAGCTCCCCAATCCCCCCCCCATCACAGCTCCCCAACCCCCCCCATCACAGCTCCCCAACCCCCCCCATCACAGCTCCCCAACCCCCCCCCATCACAGCTCCCCAACCCCCCCCATCACAGCTCCCCAACCCCCCCCCCATCACAGCTCCCCAACCTCCCCCATCACAGCTCCCCAATCCCCCCCCATCACAGCTCCCCAACCCCCCCCCATCACAGCTCCCCAACCCCCCCCCATCACAGCTCCCCAATCCCCCCCCCATCACAGCTCCCCAATCCCCCCCCATCACAGCTCCCCAATCCCCCCCCATCACAGCTCCCCATCCCCCCCCACAGCTCCCCAATCCCCCCCCATCACAGCTCCCCAACCCCCCCATCACAGCTCCCCCAACCCCCCCATCACAGCTCCCCAACCCCCCCATCACAGCTCCCCCCCATCACAGCTCCCCAATCCCCCCCATCACAGCTCCCCAACCCCCCCCCATCACAGCTCCCCAACCCCCCCCATCACAGCTCCCCAACCCCCCCATCACAGCTCCCAACTCCCCCCATCACAGCTCCCCAACCCCCCCCATCACAGCTCCCCAATCCCCCCCCCATCACAGCTCCCCAATTCCCCCCCCATCACAGCTCCCCAACCCCCCACATCACAGCTCCCCAACCCCCCCATCACAGCTCCCCAACCCCCCCCCCCATCACAGCTCCCCAATCCCCCCCCCATCACAGCTCCCCAATCCCCCCATCACAGCTCCCCAATCCCCCCCCATCACAGCTCCCCAACCCCCCATCACAGCTCCCCCCATCACAGCTCCCCAATCCCCCCCATCACAGCTCCCCAATCCCCCCCATCACAGCTCCCCAATCCCCCCCATCACAGCTCCCCAACCCCCCCCCATCACAGCTCCCCAACCCCCCCATCACAGCTCCCCAACCCCCCCCATCACAGCTCCCCAACCCCCCCATCACAGCTCCCCAACCCCCCCCATCACAGCTCCCCAATCCCCCCCCCCCACAGCTCCCCAATCCCCCCCCCATCACAGCTCCCCACCCCCCCATCACAGCTCCCTCCCCATCACAGCTCCCCAACCCCCCCCATCACAGCTCCCCAATCCCCCCCCCATCACAGCTCCCCAATCCCCCCCCCATCACAGCTCCCCAATCCCCCCCCAGCACAGCTCCCCAGCCCCCCCCCATCACAGCTCCCCAATCCCCCCCATCACAGCTCCCCAATCCCCCCCCATCACAGCTCCCCAATCCCCCCCCCATCACAGCTCCCCAATCCCCCCCAAAATTACAGCCCTCAACCGTCCTATTCCAATCCCCCCAAATCCTGCCCCCCTCCCAAACTAGGCAGCCCCCAACCCCCCCTAAATCACAGCTCCCCAACCCCAATCCCAGCCCACCACTCCCAAATCCACCCCCACCTCAAAATCCCAAACCCTGCAAATCCCAGATCCCCAAAGCCAACTTCAGATCCCAACTTCTATCAGAAATGGGAGAGAGAAAACGATCTCTCTCTCAGAGTAGCAACAGGAGAGACATTGGAGTCTGTTCTTCCATTTATTTATTAAACGGTGTCAGATATTTTAATCGCATCTATTTATATTTTTATATATAATATATAATAATAATAAAAATCCTTACAAATGATACTGCGCCTTATCATGTCTTTAAGGCGTCTCAAAGCACTTCACAGAACATACTGTAAAGTGATTTGACTGTACTTCTCAGTGAATCCCTGACATTGTTGACATGAGTAGATGTAATCGCTGCCGTGAATTTCTTAACATGTTCCGACTCCGAGCAGGACCAGGGGGATGAGTATCTTTATTTTGTTCCTTGTGAAATTTCTGTTTGGGAGAGACGTAGATGTCCGTGATCCAGTATTGCAGGGCCTCATCGGGAGAATGTGTGGAGGCAATGCTTGATTGATCTATATTTAACAACAACATAGCAGTGTCAAGTGGATCAGTTATGCCTGACTACTTCCCTCCGCCTCACTCCCTCCCTTACCTCCTTTAAGACCCATCTTAAGACCCTCCTATTCGACCGTGCCTTTGATCACCCTCCTTATCCCCCCCATACTCCACCCTCCCCGATCCACAGCCCCCCAGCTCAGGTCCGAAACACTGACCGTCCAGCGCCTTGGGATGTCCTCCCGATGTAAAAGGCGCTATACATATATCATTTTGTTGTTGTTGTACTTTTCTGCCTCCACCCTTGACTCCCCTGATCACTGCTGTCCTGTCAGAATCATGTTAAAGCTTCCGCGACGCTATTAGAAACAAGCGAGGAAGTTTCTTTCCGTTTATAAAATGTGTGTTTGCAATTGACAGTAAATAATTGAAAGGTGGGCCTGATAGAGGTGTTTAAAATTATGAAAGGGTTCTTATAAAGGTTAATCTAAATAGGTTCATATGCTCTTTCCACTTGGTGAGTTCAAAAGCGAGGCATAAAAATAAGATAGTCAGTAATGGTAGATCTATTAAAGTGTAGGAGGAAGTTTGTTACACAGAGGGCGTTGAGAGTGTGAACCTAACTGCCGGATGTTGTGGTTGAGCTGAAAGCATGATTTAAAAGGAAACTCGATGCACACATCAAGGGTGTGTTACGGGGGCTGTGGAGTGTGCATTCATGTGGCGTATAATAGCCACAGCATCGTCCAGTTTCAGTGCTGTTCAGACTGTGTATTTCGAGGTAATTGTCAAGCCCTCCGAGATCTAATAAGATGTAATAAAAATACAAGTTCTTTCTTTAGAAATGAGAAAGGCAATTCTTTTTGCTTTGAATTCATTGAGTCTGGTTAGAGCTTGTGGGAGTTTCCTGGTGTTTAGGTTGTGTGTGTTTTTAGCCGTCTGTAGTCATGAACTGTCTTGCAAAGAAGATGAAGCGAGTCCCAGATTAAATCACTGGCTTGAAATGTGAGCGTGTATGTGTGGGTGGGATACAGAATAGTAATGGTCGCCTCTTCCTGTTTAGTGTTTCTGGGCAAAGAGACAAACTTAGCTGAGATGAAGCTGTTAGCAGATCAAGCTCCATTTCGGAGCTCACTGTTAGTATTGAGGTAATCAGCGCATAACGTATGTTTCCATTCTCACTGTCCCATGGTTCAAGTACCTGCAATATAGCCTGGAACTGACACCTCCTGTATAGTTATAATAATCCTTGCATTAGTTTGATATTAGCAGTGAGCACCTCTATATAGTCTGATGTATGATATTAACCACTTTATGTGCCGCTTAATGGTTTAGACTGATATTTTAATAGGTGTGTGGGGAGGGAGCGAGTTCTGTGTTTCTGCCTTGTACAAGCAGCTTGTGTGAATCCACACAGTTTGTGATGAGAAAGGGTGTGGTGGAGCTGACCTCATTTATATGAGTTGCTCGTTGAGTCACCCTATGGTCTCGTGGTGACTCAGGAGAGAACTCTGATATGCCACTCCTCTGAGACATCCCCCGTTACATGTTAAATTATAATAATAATTTGGTCACTCAATCCACCACTCTTTGTGGGACGCTGCTGTGCGCCGTTGGCTGCCGCGTTTTGCCCAAACATATACAGTTAATCCACTTTACAGTACGTTACTATGAAGCGCTTTGAGACGTCTCAAAGACGTGATATGAAATGCAAGGATAATTATTATTATTTCAGGGAAAAAAATCAGGAACAGGCTTTCATTACCTAAATTGCTCTGTGGAATTCCACCCTGCCCTTTCAGGGTAAGGTGGATCACCCACAGAGCAATTTGGGTAATGGAGGAATAATAACAGTAATAATAATCCTTGCGTTTGATATAGGCCCATATGTCTTTGAGATGTCTCAAAGCCTATCACAGAATGTACTGGCAAGCAAATTGACTGTATATTTTGTGGTCAAAACCTGGTAGCCAATTGTGCATAGCAGTGTCCCACAAACAGTCATGGATTGAGTGACCAAATTATTATTATTTTTTGGTGGGGAGGGATTAAATTGAAGAAAAGCAAACAGGTGGATCTGCTGTACAGAAATCCCTTTCTGGTAACCAAAAAATTATTATTTTTGAAGGGATTATTACCCTTGGAAAAGCTCTGCCACTGGACTAACAATCAGGTTCCTACTTACCACTAGGTAACTAGAGGTGTGTGGAGTAAGGAAACTTGCTTAAGGTTTTATAACATAAATAATGAGTAATGGGGCTGTACCCTGTGTTGTGTGCTGTTACTGAACTGCTGTGAATCATTCCTCTATGTGGAAGAGAGTTCGGATGAAGTTAATATTTGCAAATAGGAATTTTTATCCCAAATAAAACCGCACACACAGCAAAGCCCGTTTGAAATCAAGCTCTTGGTGTCGAGCGTCTGATCAAAATTTTGAGCTCTCAGCTGCCACATTAAAAAAACAATTCAATGTGGATTAACGTGGCAGTATTCGGTAGTGCGCAGCGGGCTCCGACCTGCTCCACGTCTGCCACCCGGCCCTCCTCACCATCGGCGGACAGACTTTCAGCCTTTCTTGCCCCACCCTTTGGAATTTCCTGCATCCCAAAGTCCCTTTGCCTCCCTGCTATCTCCCTTGAGACCTCAAGGCCCGTCTCAAGACCCTCCTTTTCAACCGTGCCTTCAGCCGCCCTCCTACCCACCCCCACCCTTGCTGTCCTCCACCCCTCCTGATCCCAACACCCAGCTCAGCTCCAAATCCATGACTGTCCAGCCACTTGGGAAGTCCTCCCGACGTGAATTTGCCCACAAAATATACAGTCAATTCACTTTACAGTATATTCTGTGAAGCGCTTTGAGACGTCTCGAAGACGGGATACGGCCTTATATCAAAATACAAACATTATTATTATTAAAGGCGCTGTATAACCATAGCAACGACAACTTGCAATTGTGTAGCACCCCTCAAGCAGGGTAGCGCCCCAGAGCGCTTGACAGTGGTGGAGCACGATGCTGAGCCGGGGGGAGGGGAGATGTGATGATAGGCACGGTCGAAGACAAAGTCTTCAGGCGCGATCTGTATCAATGTAACTTGTTGTCTCTCTGTGTCCGCGGTGAAGTGCAGTAAAGCTGAGCTCTGTTTGTGTCTCTGCTCCGACAGCTGCACTACAGGCCCTGAAACGTAAAAAGAGGTACGAGAAGCAGTTGGCACAGATAGACGGCACTCTGTCCACCATCGAGTTCCAGCGAGAGGCGCTGGAGAACGCCAACACTAACACCGAAGTACTTAAGAACATGGGCTATGCCGCTAAAGCCATGAAAGCAGCTCACGAGAACATGTAAGCGGTTTTCCTCTGCTTTGTCCCGACTTGCGGCTACGGCTTTGGGGCTGAAGCCTAATCTGCAGCGTCCCCACTTCCCGACTCGCTCTCAGAGCGCTGAGCAGGGTTGTGTAAATCATGTTGACACCGATCGATCATTATCAATTTGTGTCCCGAAGGCAGCAGCCGATGGCCTGTGTGTGTTCACACACTTGTAGAGTACACAGCGAGTGACAAATAGCCCAGTGGCCATCAGCTCCGCCGAGCCTTGGCTCAGTCTGTGAGACCGTTTAGTTAGTAATCAGGATTGTGAAATAATCCTAAATCCGGCCTTTATCTGAAAGCCAATCTAATGCCGATCCCTAAGAAAATATATAATAATGTATTGTACTAAGAGAAACCGTTCCAGATTATTCCTGGATGTTTCACGAATTGTGGGATTTTATTGTGGATTATTAGACATCGAGGATTCCCAGGCTAGAACAAGGTGTAATTTCGGGTCTGGGTGAGTTTACTGATCTCCAGGGCTTGTCGTGTGGCTCAGTGATGGCTGAGCTGAGGAGAGGGTGAGCTGCCAGGGTTACTGAGCAGCGCTGGCTGTTGGGAGACGTATGGGTTTCTAGCCGGACTCTGGTTTACTCTCTGCTTCCAGGGACATCGACCAGGTGGATGATCTGATGAACGACATCACAGAGCAGCAGGTGGTGGCACAGGAGATCTCCGATGCTATCTCTAAGCCGGTCGGGTTTGGGGAAGACTTCGATGAGGTGAGCGGAACTCAGCCGCACTTATACCTTTTCACACTGAAACTAGATTTTAACGTCAAATCTACAATCGCCCCAATGACTAGTTGAACTGTTCAACGACACTGACATTGCTTTTGTTCTGTGGGTCAGTAGATATCACAGAGGGGATCGTGGCTTTCAACTAAGAAAAAACGATTGAATCCTTCCTATCCTTAGTTCTCTTCTGTGCATCTCTTTCTCTCTCTCCCTCACACTGTGTGTGTGTGTCTCCACCCCCCCTCATTCTGTGTATATAATAATAATCCTTGCATTTGATACAGCGCCTCATCACGTCTTTGAGACGTCTCAAAGCGCTTCATAGAATATACTGTAAAGTGAATTGACTGTATTTTTCTCGGCAAAGCATGGCAGCCAATTGCGCACAACAGCGTCCCACAAACAGTCATGGATTTTTTTTAAATTTGAGGGTATGTCTTTGTCTCTCTCTTCCTCCCTTTCACTGTGTATGTATGTGTGTGTGTGTGTGTCTCTCTCTCTCTCTCTCTCTCTCTTTCCACCCCCCCAATCAATGCTGCGCGTGTGTGTGTGTGTGGGGGGGGAGGGAGGAGTGGGGAGTCTCTCTCTGAAGCTCATTGTCTTATCTCAGTCTGATCAGAACTGTTGTATATGTCGCTGTCTGTCTGGTGCCCAAGTGACTGACGTTGATCACTGGTGTCTCTCTCTCTGCAGGACGATCTGATGGCTGAGCTGGAGGAGTTGGAACAGGAGGAACTCGACAAGAACCTGCTGGAGATCGGAGGGACTACCCCCGTGCCTCTCCCCAACGTCCCATCCACATCCCTCCCCGCAGGTAACCATGAGTCTGTACCACACCACACTGAACAACCCACTGCCATTCCCACACCCTCAGCATTCATTCAGTCAACCTTCGTCCAATTTACTCTTAAATCCTGCCATTCGCTCGGCTTCAGAAGCCTGGTGTGGTTAAAGTGAGGGCTGTTTCCAATCGGTCGAATTGTAGTTAGACTTTACAATGAGCTGAGTGTGATAGTCACTGGGGGGGAGAAGAGAAGGGGCAAGGAATCAGATCATTTCATCATGGTGTTAAAGCAAAAAGTCCTTCTGCCCTTCATAAATGTTCTCTCGATCTTTCCCACTCTTCTCTCATCGCCTACCCCAACAGCAACAACTTGCATTTATATAGCTTCCCGGTGCGATTGCATTTCCCTCTCCTCAGCTGTGGCCATGGTTGCTGTGAGAGTGGGTGGTGCAGCCTCACGCACTGACCGTGTGTGACGAGAGAGGAAGTGCTGCAAGGCATTGAGATGTCTTACTTTCCCACCTGTCGTAAAGGCAGCCATTCACTGGCCTGCAGAGGACGTGTCTGCCCTCTCGTGGCCAAGCCTCTGATTGTCACAGGTATTACTGGACCTGGATATTAATAATAATAAAATAATAATCCTTGCATTTGATATAGCGCTTTTCACGTCTTCTAGACGTCTCAAAGCGTTCACAGGATACACTGTAAAATGAATTGACTGGGTGAAACACAGCCACGAATTTAAGCACAGTGGTGTCCCACAAACAACCATAGAATTTATCTGGGGACTGTCGACCAGGACACCGGGAGAGAGAAACTCCCTTAAGCGTCTTAAGTCCCTGGTTTGGGTTTAGTTTTTATCACGGGGTGGGGGCTTGCTTGAAGCCTTTGTGGTGCACATTCAGCTTCTGGGGCAGGTCAGCCAGCCTCCTGCATTAACAAACCTCACATCAGATGATATCTTTTCGAAGGGTGAATGATTTTTTTTTACCCCCTTTTAAATGCCAACCATCCATCTGCCCTGAAACCTCCTTACTCTCTGACCTGCCTACTCCCCAACCCATTTCCCGCTACCTCCACTCGACTGGTTCCGGTCTCCTGCATGTCCGTCATGCCCTCTGTTCCACCATCCTTGGCCGTGTTTTCAGCCGCTATGCCCCGAAACTCTGGAATACTCTTCCTCTATCTCTCCGCCTTGCCCCTTCCGTCCCCATCTTCAGATCACACCTGAAGGCCTTCCTCTTTGACCATAGCTACAGTTACCTCCCCCCGGCTCGGCATTATGCTCCGCCACTGACAAGCGCTCTGAGACGCTATCCTGTGTGAGGGGGCGCTGTGTAAATGCAGGTTGTTGTTACTGTTGTCTGTCTAACTTGTGACTTTTGACCCAAAGTCTATGCCGGACTGTGTGTGTCTCCCTGTCACCCTGTCTCCCTGTCACCCTGTCTCCCTGTCTGTGTCTCCCTGTCTGTGTCTCCCTGTCTCTGTGTCTCCCTGTCTCTGTGTCTCCCTGTCTCTGTGTCTCCCTGTCTCTGTGTCTCCCTGTCTCTGTGTCTCCCTGTCTCTGTGTCTCCCTGTCTCTGTGTCTCCCTGTCTCTGTGTCTCCCTGTCTCTGTGTCTCCCTGTCTCTGTGTCTCCCTGTCTGTGTCTCCCTGTCTCTGTGTCTCCCTGTCTGCCTGTGTCTCTGTGTCTCCCTGTCTCTGTGTCTCCCTGTCTCTGTGTCTCTCTGTCTCCCTGTCTCCCTGTCTCTGTGGGTCTGGTGTGGCCCGATGGGAGATGCTGGCTGGATGGTAACCTCACTGCTTTGTGATTTTCAGCGAGCAGGAAGAAGGAGGAAGATGACGAGGACCTGAAAGACTTGACAGCGTGGGCGGAGGCCATGTAAGGCAGCCACCATCTTGGACAGCACAGACTCCGGTCACACGGTGCGGTTCCGAGGTGGGCGATAACTGCGGTGACAGTTGTCAAACTGAGGTGGTGACTACACCCGAAAGGCACGGTGGTGGGAGGTGGGTGGGGTGGGGGGGGTTACAGCCTCAGAACTGGACCCCAGGAGGAGACCTTCCCCCCCACACACACACTCTCCCACCCCCCGCACACTTGGTCTTGGCTAGTATTGGATGTCTTAACCCATTTATGATCACCAGCCAGAAGCTTGACGCTCTGCAATTATTTGAGGGGCGATGTGGGCGGAGGGGGAACATGACTGCACCCATCCCTCCCCGCTGCCATGTTTCTTTTACTTTATATAAATATATATATAATATTTGCTGTACATTTCCTCTGTAGCGTTGCACATTGGTGTCTGAGTAGCGGATTGCTGAGAGTGAGTGCACACACACACGCACACAGACACAGAGCACTGCTTGTTTTACGTTGAGGCTCCACGAGCTGTAGGTGGCTGGATTCTTTTGGGGGTGATTTTTGATTAATTCTTAAAACTATTTTCCTCTCTCTGTGTGATGATGAACTTTATTTTAATAGAAACTATCCGGCAGTGTGTTGCGGGAGGGAGGGAGGAGGACATGTGTGTGTGAGGGTGGGGGAATCTGAATTAATCAGTATTAAAAAGGTTTCTTTCGCTCTCTCATTATCTTCGCTCAGTTTGAAGTGTGGTTTTCAATCATATCGTTGTTTCTTTCTCATCAAACCTGAACCCGGCCTCACTCGCTCTCTCTCTCTGCATCTGCTGGGGGCGGGGGAGAGAGAAGTCATTTGAAATTTGTTGTCCTTGTTGTCGGGTGCAAAGAGAACAGCGTTTTGAATGATATTGTGGGCATGAAACTCGATGTGTGTAGTAACGCTGTCCCCTTATCTCCACACTACGCTAAACAGTATTGAGACCCCACCCCCTAAATAATTAATTAATTCTTAAATCTGCTGTAAATATGTTAATCGATAATAAAAAGTGACTTTGTAAAGCGTATGTGATTGTCTACCTGCATTTGGCATCCTGGCATTATTTATTGCTCTGCTGCTCACAAACTGGTCATATCCTCATCATTGATTATGATCTTCCAGAACAAGACAACGTAATTATAATTAATTATTAATGTTAACCTTGCATACGGTACAGAGATTATTGGTGCTATAGGTGCTCTCGTTTGCAAGGCGACTGCTCTAACCACTGTAGCTGTAATTTCTCTGCAACACTGTCTGCCTGAAAGCAATGTGAGGACAGGCAGCGCCTCTCAGCTCCAGCTTCTGCTCAAGGAAAAAAACTGTTAAATTTTACTTTGTAAAAGACCAACACAGTGAGACTCAATGGGTGGCTTTGGGGGAAGAGTTTGACTAGATAGCTCCATCTTGTGGACCGACCAACAAGGAACTGCTGAGCCTGGATCCAAATCTAGATGAGATGGTCTCAAGCTCCTCTCTCTCTCTTACGCTGTAGGCACAGAACCTTGTTATTAGTCTCCTGGCCTTAACACTCCAGAAAGGAGGAGCTGGGAGAGACAGAGCTGGGGAGAGGGTGATGTGTCCATTTATCGAGTCAGACTCAATTGATTAAACAACAGAGAAAGTAATCGTTTTTGCATTTGGTACAGCGCCTTATCAAATCATTGAGACGTCTCAAAGCACTTCACAGGATACACTGTAAAGTGAATTGACTATATTTTGTGCACGAAACGTGGCAGACAATTGTGCACAGCAGTGTCCAACAAACAGTTGTGGTTCGAGTGACCAGATTTTTTTTGCGAGGGATTATTATCAGATTGTAAAAGTTTTTACAAATACATTAAGAGGAATAGGCTAGTGAGGGTAAATGTAGGTCCACTTCAGTCAGAGACAGGAGAAGTTGTAATGGGGGATAAGGACATGGCAGAGTCCCTAAATGGGTACTTTGCATCAGTCTTCACCTTAGAAGACACAACAAATCTATCAACAATAGAGATGCACCAAGGGGATAAGGACAGGGAGCAACTTAGAGAAATTTTCATTGGCAGAGAATTGGTGCTCGGGAAACTGTTAGCACTAAAAAGTGACAAATCCCTGGTCCGGATGGCTTGCATCCCAGGGTTTTAAAAGAGGAGCTTATGAGGTAGTAGAGGTCTTGTGTCTGATCTTCCAAAATTCCTTGGATTCTGGAACAGTCCCCATGGATTGGAAGATCGCAAATGTCACACCACTATTTAAAAAAGGTGGAAAGGAAAAGATGGGGAACTATAGGCCAGTTAGTCTCACATCAGTGATAGGAAACATTTTAGAATCATTGATTAAGGATGTGGTAGTGCGGTATTTAGGGGAGCAAATATAATTAGGCCGAGTCAACATGGCTTTACAAAAGGGAAGTCATGTTTGACAAATCTCATTGAATATATGAGGATATTTGGAGTAAACTAGATAAGGGTGAATCAGTGGATGTGGTCTATTTGGATTTCCAGAAGGCATTCAATAAGGTGCCGCATAAAAGGTTAGTCCAAAAGATAGGAGCCCATGGAATTGGGGGAGCATATTAACGTGGATTGGGGAATGGTTAACGGGTAGGAAACAAAGAGTAGGGATAAACGGGTCCTTTTCAGATTGGCGGGATGTGACTAGTGGAGTGCCACAAGGATCAGTCCTTGGGCCTCAGCTATTTACCATCTACATCAACGATCTAGATGAGGACATCAAAGTTAATATATCTAAATTCGCGGATGACACAAAACTAGGAGGAAGTGTCAACACAGAGGACGACATTAAAAAAATGCAGCGAGACATAGATAGGTTAGGTGATTGGGCAGGTAGGTGGCAGATGAAGTATAATGTTGGGAAGTGCGAAGTCATCCACCTCGGTAGCAAAAATAGTAGAGCGGGTTATTTTTTAGAAGGGCAGAGATTGGAACGTGTTAGCGTCCAGAGGGACTTGGGTGTCCTTTCACAGAAAGTTAGTCTGCAGGTGCAGCAGCAATTAGGAAGGCGAACGGTATGTTAGCATTCATTATGAAAGAATTAGAGTATAAGAGTAGGGAAGTCTTGCTGCAACTGTATAGGGCCCTGGTGAGACCACACCTGGAATACTGTGTGCAGTTTTGGTCTCCTTATTTAAGGAAGGATGTACTTGCCTTGGAGGGGGTGCAGCGTAGATTTACTAGGTTAGTACCAGGGATGAAGGGGATGAGTTACGAGGATAGGCTGAACAATTTGGGCCTATATTCTCTAGAATATAGAAGAATTAGAGGGGATCTTATAGAAACCTATAAGATCATCAAAGGGCATGATAGAGTAGATAGTGGGAGATTGTTTCCCCTGGTTGGAGAAACTAAAACCAGGGGTCACAACCTTAAAATCAGAGGCCAGCCCTTTCGCACTGAGTTGAGGAAGAACTTCTTCACTCAAAGGGTGGTGAATGTATGGAACTCACTACCCCAAAGGGCTGTTGACGCTCAGTCCTTGAACATATTCAAGACTGAGATAGATATATTTCTTATTGCAAAAGGGATTAAGGGATATGGGGATAAGGCAGGGTCAGGTTATTAGCTGGAGTTAGATTTGAAGATCAGCCATGATTGATTGAATGGCGGGGCAGGCTCGAAGGGCCGAATGGCCTACTACTCCTGCTCCTATATGTTATGTTATTACCCCAGGAAAAGCAATCTGCCAATCAACTAACAACCAAGTTTCTACTTACTGCTGGTAAATAGGCGTGTAGAGTAAGGAAACTTGCCCAACGTTTCGCACTGCCAGGAATCAAACCCAGGTCCTCTCTCTTGCGAGGCGAGTGCCTCTAAGCTAGAGGACTCCACTTTTGTTTCTGTTTCTTTGATTCAGGGTTTTTTTTGGAGGGTTTTGGGGATAAGTTGACCCGGAAGCATTGCTCTGCTCTGACGCTATGTGTGGATAAAAAATACCCCGAGGGCCCTACCGGGAAGCTGATCTGAGCTGCTGTCTCGGGAGCAAACTGCAGCCATCTCCTCGAAGGCAGTAAATAAATCCCGCTCACTCTCTGAATATTCTGTTTCATTATAGAAAATGTTGTTTCAACATAAATAAACAATGAATTATTAACAGAAGACGTGCTGCTTTCTCTACCTGACCTGATTTCAGTATGCCCCATTCATGTTCCTGCCCAGCTCCTTCCTAACCAATGTACTTCTTCTCGTCAGTATCAGTGTGTGAACTTCACAGAGAGTGACTGAAAAAGAGTGAATGACACAGAGTGACAGAGAAAGAGAGTGACACAGACCACAGAAAGACAGAGAGTACGAGATTTTCTTAACGATTGCTCTATTTTTATTCTCTAGTTATATTTTATTCTCCTACGTGGAGGGGGGAAACAATGAACTCGCAGATCATTGTCGAGGGTTGGCATCCTTCAAATGAGACGTTAAATAGGTCGAAAGGATATCTCCGAAGCGATTCATAAGAATCACCATGAAGTGTCCTGATTGCGTTTTTTTTAGTGAAAGTGGCAGCCAATTTGCTCACAGGAACGTCTGACAAACAGCGGCGAAGAGTGAAGAGAACTGACACCTGATTGTTCTCTGCACGATGAGGTTAAAAAGGTGCGCAGTGATAATGTGACTCCCTTTATTCATCAGCTCAGAACGAGGGTGGGTTAGTGACCCTGGCTTCCTGGGGTGAACATCAACCCTCTTGTGTGCAGCTCCCAGTGATTCTCTTCTCTCTTCTCACCAGGAGCTCCTGGTAATGGGGAGACTGACTGGGAAGATAAAATGATTGATGGGACCCAAGGGTCAGACAGACAGACAAACGCTGATCGATAATCAGTAATCACTTTCCCCTCATCGCCCACTTAGTTCTGGCTCAGCAACCTTCCCCCCCACCACTGGGAACACAGCGGTTGGGACTTGATGGATGAGGCGCGGCTGTGATTCCAGGATTGGGGAACTGCTGGACACTCTGCACTCGGTGCTCAGGCTCACACGTTATTATTGGCCACTCGGGGGGGCAATCAGCGCTCGAACCTCACCCCAGCGAGAGGCCAGGCCGGGGGCAGAGAGCCAGTGAGGAGAAAAATTAGAAAAAAAATACATTAATAGTAATAGTAATAATCCTTGCATTTGATACAGCATCTTATCACGCTGTCGAGACGTCTCAAAGCACTTCACAGAATATATTGTGTAATGACTGAACATTTTGTGGACGAAACGCGGCAGCCAATTGCACACAGCAGCAACCCACACGCAGTCATGGATTGAGCAACTAAATTATTATTATTTTTCGGTGGGGGGGATGGGATTAAATTGAAGAAAAGCAAACAGGTGGATCTGCTGCACAGAGATCCATTTCTGGTAACTAGTAACAAGTGATTTGGTGAAGCTGCTGTTCAGGACTTGGTCACTGTAAATAGCAGAGAGGTGTCAGCTGTCATTGTGAGTCTGTAAATAGCTGAGTGTCACACTCAGCCTCTCTCGGTGTTTATTTCTGACGTACGAGAGAAAGGCGACAGTTCTTTTATTTTTTATTTTTACTCTCAGCTGCTGTGAGGGGTGGTTTTATTACCTTTTTATTTTATGCTGTTTAAAGGGACGTGGCATCCCCCTAAATTACAACAACAACCTGCGTTTCTGAGGAAAAGTCATTGACCTGAAACGTTAACTCATTTTTCTCTCTCCATGGATGCTGCCTGACCTGCTGCGTATTCCCAGCGACATCTGCAGGGTAGCGTCTCAGAGCACTTGTTATTTTAAATTAAAATGGTTTGTGGTGCCCTAATTTAAAGGAGGGTGGTATTCTGGTTTAAAGAGCAGTGCTGTTGTCTACACACACAAACACACACACACACATCCCCAACATTGTATTGAAATGTCAGCCTAGACTGGGAGCTCACAGAAAGTGGGTGGGTTAAAACCGCAACTAAAGTTGAGAGCGCTGACCACTGAGCCGGGCTGACACCTTACCATGGAGCGGAACATTTTGCTCCCGCAATAATAAGAAGCAATAATAAAACACAACACACTGGATAATGTGATTGAGTCACAGAGTCTCTGCCATCTGTCACGAGCTGCACTCCACCGACTGGCAGCAGACAGCGTTTCTGTGAGGAATTATAATGCTGACGTCTGACCCAACCCTGGATCCTGTCAGAATGATCTCAATCTCCCACAGAGAATTCTGTCAGGTGCAGCATCTTGTTTTAAAAAAAACAAATGCAACAGCCATTTTATTGCACTGAGTGAAGTCCCGCACCTCCAGCCCCCGCACCGTCTTGTGCAGTGTTCTTCAGGGCTCTGCCTCCACCCTGAACTCCAGGACTACTGGTGTCCTGACCGACTGCCTGTCCGACATCAAGTCCTGGACGAGGGTCAACTTTCTCCAACTCAACTTCAGCAAGACCGAGGCCCTCCTGATTAGCTCACGCCAGCGCCTCCGCACCTCGGGCGCTGGCAGCCTCAGCCTCCATGGCTGCACACTCAACCTCACTGAGCCAGTCAGGAACCTGGGGGTCTTGTTTGACCCTGAACTCTCCTTTCTCCCCCACATCCGCGCCATGACCGGCACTGCCTACCACCACCTCCGCAACATTGCCAAACTACGACCCCGTCACTCCCACCCTCACCCGACTCCACCGGCTCCCCATCCCCCAGAGGATTGAGTTCAAGATCCTCGTCCTCACCTTTAAAGCCACCCCTGGCCTCGCCCCCTCCTCCCTCTCTGACCCACTGACTCCCTACCAACCCGCCCGCTCCCTCCGTTCAGTGGGCTCCGGCTGCTCCATGTCTCCCGCCCTTGACCTGAGTGCTGAAACCCACAACTGTCTGCTCCAGACACGAGAGTGTGACTGAGAGCTGAACTGATGGAACAAAGACTGTGTTTATGGAAAGCCACCGGTTTCGTTGTGAGGGAGAGGGTTGATTTTGGGTGGGGGTTGATTTCTGTCGCTTTCTTGCTGACCTTTGAAGCGTTTTGAGACGTCTCGACGACGTGACAAGGCGCTGGAACATGGGCAAGGATTATTATATTATTATTAACCTCACCCCAAGCATCAGACAGACGTGTTCGAGTGGGTAAAGAGGCACTTGCGGATGAGGTTAACGTGTGTAAATGACGCCGGTTGCCTTTGCCGGTTGCGGTGCCCTCTGACACGTCGCCGAGACGCCTCGAAGCGCTTTCACAGGATTTTGCCGTCAGGTAATAGTCCGGTTTTTTTTCCCCATCGGTTTGGCTCAGTGGACGGAGCTCCGGTGTGTGCGGAGGGACGTGGAACACGATTGGCCTTTTTTACGGTATCGCCGCAGCGACTCTCGCGTCGGGACGACGTCTCCGAGGCCTCCGGTATGAACCCGGTGAGCGCGGAGCCTTCGGGGCGGTGCGGGACTCTCATGGCGTTTCCGTGCGGCATTGGGGGCCCCAAAACCACTGGATGTTGAGGCAGTGGAACCCCCTCTGTGCGGCGGCGGCTCCATCAAAGCGGAGATCAGCTGAGAGGGGGCGGGGCCCGGACCCGCCCCGCCCACCGCTCGGGGGGGGAGGGGGGGCGCTCACATCGCCCGCCTTCCCGGGGGACCTCCGGGGCTTCGGCCTCGCGGGGACCCGCCCGGAGGGGCGGTGTGGGGGCGGGAGAGCGGCAGCACCGGGACCCGCGGCCGCTGGAATGGCCGTTGCTGACGGGAACAGCTGTTGGAGCGGAGCGCGGACCCCCCTCCGGCCGCAGTGGTCGCGCCCACAGTGTCACTCTCCCCCTCTCCCTCTCTCTCTCTCTCTCCCTCCCTCTCTCTCTCTCTCTCTCCCTCTCTCTCTCTCCATCTCTCCCTCTCACACTCCCCCTCTCCCTCTTCTGCTGTTTCTAAACCGCTGCAGTTTCTCTGCGGCTCTCTGTTCGGGTGAGTAATTTCACTCTCTGGTGATATTTTTTTTTCTTTTTACATTTTTAATTTTTTAAATTTTTTTTACATTATTATTATTATTATTATTATTACCACAAAAAAAAAACTCCGCCCCAAAAAAAAAGCGAAACCGAAAAAAAATATATTCTTTCTTTCTTTTTTTGGGGGTCTCTCTCTCTCTCTGTCGTTTTCTTCGGGACCTGTGAATGAGGGGAAAAAAATGGGACATTTTGCGTTGGTGTCGTTTCCTTTTTTTTCTCTCTCTCTCTCTCTCCCGACAACGTCAGTGTGTAGTGACCGCGTGTGTGCGCTCAGCGAGTCCCACTGCGAGTTTTTTTTCCCGTGTGACAGAGATGGAGTCACAGCTCTTCGTCCACAGTGTCTCTTTATTGTCTTTAATTTAATGACGAGTTCATTTTAACGCGTCTCTTGAGGTTTGTGACTGACCGCTGTATCGCTGCTCTGTGGTGGTGTCAGTGTTTCTCTTTACGTAACGTTATTAATAATAATAATAATAATAATAATAATCCTCGCATTTGATATAGCGCTTTTCACGTCGGGAGGACGTCCCAAAGCGCTTCACAGAACACACTGTAAAGTGAATTGACTGTATATTTGTGGGCGACTGCGGCAGCCAATTGCGCACAGCAATGTCCCACAAACAGTCGTAGATTGAAAATGACCAATTTATTATTGTTTTTGGTTTTTGGAGGGATTATTATTAGGCTCTGTGTGGAGTAAGGAAACTTGCCCAAGGTTTCGCCCTCTGCCTGGAATTGAACTCAGGTCTCTCACTTGCAAAGCGAGTGCTCTAACCACTGAGCTACAGGACTCCACGCGCATTAATATATTACATATTGCAAACCCACAGACGCTGCGATTTCAGGATATATAAAAAAAAGGAAAAGAGAAAGTTTGGGGGTTTCCCACTTTTTTAATTAAAAAAAAGCCTATTTTTTTCTCATTTTTTGGGGGTCACTTGGGGCTATTTTGATTTGTTTTGTCTCCGTCTCCTGATGGGACACTTTTGTGACATAAAAAGAGAGAGGAAACAGTGTTAAGCTCCAATTTCTTTATTTACTGCATTTTCTACAGTCACTACACTTTACAGGAAGTGTATTCTACGGAGCGCTTTGAGGTGATGCGAAGACGTGATAAGGCGCTGTATCAAATTCAAGGATTATTTATTATTATTTTTACGGGGAAAAAAAATCCCCTCCCAAAAAAATCTGCATTAAATGTGTGAAAACAGAGAGATGGGTTATAATTAGAATTGTGTTGTGCTCATTGGGGGTTAGAGGCCAACGCTCTGAATGTGAGAGTAAACCTTCTGATATTCAGACCAGGAATATCACATTCCCATTTGTTATCGGCCACAACACACATTGACTCCACCTCTGGCAACCCGGAAGGAATTTAAATCCTAAATGTTTACTGAACCAAGAACCTGTCTTTTTTTGGGAGGGGGCAGTGGGGTGGGGGCGGGAGGGAGTCAATCTCCTGTGAACCTCCTTTCTGCTTGTTTGCAAAGAAAAGAGTTTCTCTCTCTCGCTCTCCTCCCTCCCTCCCCCCCCCCCCTCGCTGTCCGACAATCTCCCCAAAAGCTGCTGTTTGCTGGACATCGCTGTGCGCAAGTTGGCTGCCGAGTTCGCCCACAAAACACACAGTCACTCCACTTGATAGTAATTCCCTGTGAGCTTGTTCGCTGTTTGAGAACTAGGATGGTCAGTGTCTGACAACAATCACACTGGAACGTGGTCCTGCGAGCAGGAGTCTGACACACGCGGAAACCCATCACCGTTGCTTAAGAGTCTCGAAACCACACTGCGATCTCCCTGCATCCCAACTACATGTGGAAACCCCAGCGATAGATTGTTGGAATGAAATGCGCTCTCTCTCTCTCTCTCTCTCTCTCTCTTGCAGGTGGGACACATTCTGCTTACCCAATTCCTGCAAATATTCAGTGCACTGGGACCACCCTCCCCATTAGTTAGGGCTTTGGTTGCAGGGCTAGCGGGAGCTGAGGGGGAGAATTCCCTGCCCCCAATGACTGGTCGGCCCTTCCAGGTCCTGCTGATGAGTCGGGCTGTGCTATCATCAGCGGTGCCTTGGAATACTGCGGAGCCTCCTGGCACAATTCCGACATTCGGTTGCCAAAGAATCAATGTGTCGTTCGCCCACACTCTCACTTTGTGACCCAAATCCTTATTTCTGTGTGTTGTCAGGTGTCCTCACAGTAGAGATGAAACACGTCTCCGGAATGTTCTGAGAGTGTTTGAGCTCCATGGTGGGGGGAGTGGGGTGGGGACAGGTAGAGATGTGTTGGTGGGATATATGGAATTCTCAGCTTGGTTTGGAAATCTTGTGATATTGGACATTTCTCCCAGAGTCCAGGCCATCAGTCCCCCAGAGAGTTAGCGTTTGGTTTTGAGATTTTGTTGGTGCTATTGAACGCTATGTTGTGACCCACAAAAAAACAGTCACTACACTTCACAATTAGACAGTAACGGTCTGCAAATGTGGCAATCCAATGAGGTGAATGGGCCTTTCTCATTGCGTGCTTGTGGTCTTATTGATCTCTGATCTCTTTGATGCCTGACATCAAGCACTCAGCTTCACTAATAATAACAGTCCTTGCATTCGGTACAGTGTCCGATCATGTCAAAAGGATTCAGGATTCATTGTGAAGCGGAGTGACTGTGTATTTTGTAGGCAAAAGCGGCAGCACAATTGCACATCACAATATCTCACACACAGCCAAGGAGTGAGTGACCAATTTTATTTGGGGGATTGTTGGTCTAGGACACTGGGAGAGAGAGAAACTGCCTTCTCCTTTTGAATAGCGCCAGGAATCGTTAACGTCCACCCTCCCACCACCCTCTCCCCCTCTCCCCACACTGTGTGCAACTGATGTGCAGATCTTGTGTAATTCAACATTTTCTTAACGTTGCTTTGGATTAGATTTGCTGACACGGCAGAATGGAAAACAAGCTTATTTTAAGAGCTAAAGAAATTCAATACTGTGTCACTGCTCCAGGAACGTGCTTTGCTCAGCCTAAAGCACCTGCAGCTTGGCCGGGGGTGGTGGGAGGGGGGGTGCAGTTCAGAGTCAAGTGTAATAATAATCCTTGCATCTGATATAGCGCCTTAACCCATCGTTCACACATCACAAAGCGCACAGTAATGTCCCACAAACAGTCTTGGATTGAGTGACCAAATTATTATTGAAAACATTTTTTTTGTCGATCAGATTGCTTTCCCGAGTAATAATCCCTCCGTCCCCCAAAAAGGTCACTCAATGCACGACTGTTTGTGGGACGCTGCTGTGCGCAATTGGCTGACGTGTTTCACCCATAAAATATATAGTCACTACACTTTACAGTATATTCTGTGAAGTGCTTTGAGACGTCTCAACGAAGTGAAAGCTATTATCAAGTTCACCCTCTTCACAATCATAAAGACCTCGATCCCTTCGCCTCCCTCAAGCTCCTCAGCTGCACAGCTCTATCCCTACAGAGAAACACTTGGCTTTGGCTCAGTGCTATTAAGAGTTAAGCTGAAATCGCAGCGCTAAGCTGTTCAGAGTAATGCACTGAGCAGGAGATCCGCTGCTGATGAGGGAGGATGGGATCTCCTGGGGCCATCACTGATGACAGCTGTTGGCCCCAGCGGCTGATGCCTGAGCTGGAGTCATGAGTGTGTGTAATACTCCCAGCCCCAGGCTCAGCTCCCAGCTCCTTCCTGTGGATGGCTTCCAACAGGTGACCTCCATCCACTAACTCCCTCCGCGCCTCCCCCCCCCCCCCAACAACAACAACTCACATGTCTGTAGCTCTCCTCATAAAGGGTAGCATCTCGGAGAGCTTAACAGTGGCGTATCCTGATGGCGAGCCAGGGGGAGGTGACTGTAACTACAGTCACAGAGGAAGGTCTTAAGGCAAAATCGTAAAATGGGGAAGGAGGAGGCAAGGAGGGGACACAGAGAGTTCCAGAGTTTCTGGGCGTAGTGGCTGAAAGCCCGGTTCCGATGGTGGATGAGGGGACAAGCAGGAGGCCAGAGCCAGCCAAACGGAGGCAGCGGGTAGTGGAGGGGGGAGTAAGGAGGTCGGAGAGGCAGGTGTTAGGGCATGAGTGAAGGGATTGTAGGGAGTGTGAGGATCTTGAAGTCGAACTCCACGCCCCACAAACACCCCGCACCTTGCCTTGTGTTCTGTGCTCCCCCTGTAACCAGTGTGCGGCAGAACACAGTTTACAGCCAAGCCGCTCCTGCTCAGTGCTGGATAAACAGCAACTAATCCCTGCCTCGGATTTCAGTCAAACACACTTTTATTCACGTTGTGTGAGATTCCTGAGTCCTAAGTGTGACCTTCAGATACATAGCGCCTGGGCTCTGAGATACACGAGACATTAATTTTCCCCCAGCCATGGACAGACTTCACACGCTGATCCCATACCCCCCCACCTCCCCGCCTCCGGCTGTTTCCGAAGCTCGTAATTACACCCAGTCTCAGGCTGTAGCAGAGACGCAGTGAAAATGTGGGACTCTCTGCTGGAAGCTGTGGTGGAAAAAGTACACAGCAATGTGTTTAAGATGAAACCCACTTAATTATGCATTGGTCACACGACAGAGAAACTATTTCCTCTTGTGGGGGAATCCATGGAATCTTCGGCCATTTAGGAGTAAAATAATAACAATAACTATCCTTGCTTTTGATATAGCGTTTTTCACGTCTTCTAGATGTCTCAAAGCTTCACAGAATAGACTGTAAAATGAATTGACTGTATATTTGTGGGCGAAATGCATCAGCCAATTGCGCACAGCAGCGTCCCACAAACAGTCATGGATTGAAATGACCAATTTATTCTTATTTTTTTGAGGGATTATTATCAGGCGTGTGGAGTAAAGAAACTTGCCCAAAGTTTTGCCCCGCCGGGAATTGAACCCAGGTCTCCAGCTTGCAAAGCGAATGCTCTAACCACTGAGCTACAGGACTCCACAGGGCATTTTTTCACACAAAGGGTAACAGAAATCTGGAACTCTCTCTCTCTCCCCCCCAAAAGGCTGTGGATGCTGGAACCATTCACATTTTCAAGACTGGGGTGGATAGTTTGTTCGGTCAGGGGATCAAGGGATATTTAATATCGCCCACAAAATATACAGTCAATTCACTTTACAGCATATTCTGTGAAGAGCCTTGAGACGTGATAAGGTGCTGTATCAAATGCAAAGATTATTATGGTTATTATTATTCATTCAGAAAACTCCAACTGTGTATTTGGTTCAACACAAGAACCAACCGCGTAGCAAGGCTTGGGGGCCGGGCAGTGCAGGTGACAGACAGACAACTGTCGCCGCCTCGTGGTGATGATGTGGTGTTTCAGGAACGTTACAATATGTATTTTGCTGGCGTTTTGGGTAAATTAAAAAGCAAGTGAACAGCAGTGTTGTTGCTGAGGTTTAAAATGTCAGGATTTAGTACATTTAAAATGATTTTATTGCAGCGCAATAATAATAATAATAATCCTTGCATTTGATATAGCGCTTTTCACGTCGGGAGGACGTCCCAAAGCGCTTCACAGAACACACTGTAAAGTGAATTGACTGTATATTTGTGGGCGAACGCGGCAGCCAATTGCGCACAGCAATGTCCCACAAACAGTCACAGATTGAAAATGACCAATTTATTATTGTTTTGGTTTTGGAGGGATTATTATTAGGCTCTGTGTGGAGTAAGGAAACTTGCCCAAGGTTTCGCCCTCTGCCTGGAATTGAACTCAGGTCTCTCACTTGCAAAGCGAGTGCTCTAACCACTGAGCTACAGGACTCCAAAGGATGGACTTGAGACGTCTCGAAGACGTGCGAAGCCCTTTGAGATGTTTCAATGTCCTGGCTAATGCCCTCCGCACACAGTGAAGTGAGAATGTGCCCCAACCCCATGCCATAGGGGCAAAATCTAATGGAGTTAATAATAATAATATAATAATAATAACAATAATAATATAACAATTATAATAATAATATAATAATCCTTGCATTTGATCTAGCACCTTATTACGTCTTCGAGACGTCTCAAAGCGCTTCACAGATTATACTATAAAGTGTATTGACTGTGTATTTTGTGGGCGAAAGGCGGCAGCCAATTGCGCACAGCAGCGTCCCACAAACAATCGGGGCCTGAGTGACCAAATTATTATTATTGTTAATATTTTTTCGGAGGGATTATTACCCCCGGAAAAGCAGTCCACCGTGGATCAACGAAGGTACATACTTACTGCTAGGGGTTTTAATAAAAGGGCAACGAGACTCTGAAATGTGGGAAGTGAAGACATTTAAGGGTTTGGAGGAAAGGCAGCGATGACATTGTCTCTAACTTGCTTTGTTTCTCAATCCAAAGTGATCAGCAAAATTCACAGTGTAACAATGTTCCTGAAATACCACACATTTGCCACTGGGGAGCGAACCTCCCTCAAAAATCAGTTCATTAAATCCCTAACGGGTTGGTGATGTTGGCTGGACAAGGAAAGCTTGCCAGACAGCGATATCAATTGCCAAGCTTTTAGCTGCTAATAAATTAAAATAATAATAATCCTTGCATTTGATATAGCACTTTTAACATCTTCGAGACGTCTCAACATACTGTAAAATGTAGTGACTGTGTATTTTGTGGGCGAAACGTGGCAACCAATTGCACACAGCGACGTACCACAAACGGTCGTGGATTGATTGACCAAATTATTTTTTTTTTCTTGAGGGATTATTATTAGGCGTGTGGAGTCTGGAAACTTGCCCAAGGTTTCGCCCCCTGCTGGGAATCGAACCCAGGTCTCTCGCTTGCGAGGCGAGCGCTCTAACCACTGAGAGAGAGAGAGAGTGCCCATTCCATCCCAACAATCTACCTCTGGGGTTTCCATGTGTAGATGGGATGTGTGGAATTCTCAGTTGGGTTTAGAGACTCTTAAGCAACGGTGATGTCAGACACCCGGCCGGGCAAAAAAACAGTAGAGCAGGAAGCAGCCATTGCTGTTGCCAATCTAACGCCCTGTGCTCTCTCTCTGTCTGTCTCGGTCTCTCTCTCTGTCCCTCTCTCTCTTTGTCTCACTCTTTCTCTCTCTCATGCTGTCTCCAGGCCGTGGACATGTCGGTCAAGCTTCAGACTAGCAACGTCACCAATAAGAGCGACCCGCGCTCCATCAACTCCCGAGTCTTCATTGGCAACCTCAACACCGCCGTGGTCAAGAAGTCCGACGTGGAGACCATCTTTGGCAAATACGGCAAGATCGTGGGCTGCTCGGTGCACAAGGGCTACGCCTTCGTCCAGTACACCAACGAGAGGACAGCACGTGTGGCCGTGGCGGGGGAGAACCGGCGCGTGCTTGCCGGACAGACCCTTGGTAACACTACCCCCCCCACCCCACCCCCCCACCCCCCCACCAGATATAACACCTCGTGGAGTCCCGCAGTGCAGTGTTTAGCGCTTGCCTCGCAAGTGAGAGGACCTGGGTTCAATTCCCAGGCTGGGCGTGTTTTCCTTACTCCACACGCTTCTGTTTACCAGCAGTCAACAGGAACCCGGTTGTTAGTCGATTGGCGGATCACTTTTCCGGGGGTAATAATCCCTCCAAAATAATAATAATAATAATAATTTGGTTACTCAATCCATGTGGAGTCCTGTAGCTCAGTGGTTAGAGCACTCGCTTTGCAAGCAAGACCTGAGTTCAATTCCAGGCAGAGGGCAAAACCTTGGGCAAGTTTCCTTACTCCACACAGAGCCTAATAATAATCCCTCCAAAACCAAAAACAATAATAAATTGGTCATTTTCAATCTATGACTGTTTGTGGGACATTGCTGTTAGCAATTGGCTGCCGCGTTTGCCTACAAATATACAGTCAACACACTTTACAGTATATTCTGTGAAGCGCTTTGGGACGTCCTCCTGACGTGAAAAGCGCTATATCAAATGCAAGGATTATTATTATTATTAGGACTGTTTGTGGGACACTGCTGGGCGCAATTGGCTGCCCCGTTTCTCCTACAAAATACACAGTCACTCCACTTGGCTTCTGTGAAATGCTTTGAGATGTCTCAATGACTTGATAAGGTGCTGTATCAAATGCAAAGATTATTATTATTATTATTTTTATTATTATTCCCGGATCGGTGTTCCCATAGGTTGATGGGAATTCTAACAGATTTCCTTAGCAAGGAATTCAGAAATTAGGAATTAAGAAATAGCGCAGGTTTAGTCGTATTTAGCCCAATGTGCTGTGTTCTTGTCTCCCCGGTGCAGATATTAACATGGCCGGGGAGCCCAAACCCAAGCGGTTGAAGCGAGTGACCTCCACACTGCTCAGGTGAGTGTCGCTGTTTAGTGCAGTGGGAACTCCGACTCTGTCCCCTGAACATCAGCTGCTGATTAGAACTGGATTTACCTGGTAAAATAGCCAAGACTTTTGCATTAAAACGTTACTTTCAAGGTGAACTTTGTAAGGCATTGATGTGATTAATGTAGAATGTTGTCTGTGTGCGTAGTGCCCAGTGTGTGTGGTGTGTGTGTGTATGTGTGTATGGTTTATGTAGCTGTGTGTGTGTATGTCTGTGTAGTGTGTGAAGTGTGTGTAGCTTGTGTATAGTGCTTGTGTGTGTAAATGTCCCTGATTTATTTTTCTCTGTTTCTCTCCTTAAACAGTGACTACGATTTTGATTATGAATATTACAGGGACAACGTCTTTGAGAGGTAACTACACAGATTATTTATTTAAGTTGTATCTGTATGTGTGAGTGTATAAATGTGTGTGAGAGAGTGAGCGTATGTGTTTGTGTGAGCGTGCGTGTTGTTTGTGAGTGTTCTGTGTGTGTGTTTGTGTGTGAGTGAGTCTTTGTGTAGATGTCGGAGTGTGTGTATGCATCTGTGTGTGTGTCTATGTAAGTGTGTTTGTTAGTGTGTATGTGTGATTGTGCATAATATGGCCTCAATTTACCAAACTGCTTTCCTCTCTGTATAAAAGAATGAAATTGAGATGCATTACAGGCTGCCAATGAAGTAAGTTTGGCAGTAATCTGACTCTGGGTTGAGATCCAAGTGCACTTAGCCGAGAATTTGCCACAGGGCACCGCTGCCAGATCTGAACTAAATGCAATTCCCCTGCGATCAACTCCTAACTCACTTTCTGCAGAGCTCAGTTAAGATCTGCAGATCCTGAGAACATCTGGTTTGCCCATTTGAGGTCAGGTCAGCAGCGGCTGATGTTGTCTGAACGTCAGAAAAAGAATAGAACAAGGACAGACTAAGCTTGCTAGTTATGAGGTCCCTGAGATTGAATGAAGATTACTTTTGTTAGCATTCAAGGCCTTTATCTGCTAAGAGAAAATTGACTGCAGCTCAGCAGGATGGAAAGCACCTTTGAGTCTGGTTTCAGTGTCTAAAGCCCTCATAATAAATGTGCAGATCACAGTTATTATTGTTATTCAATGCTACATAATTCAGTACAGATTCTGCCTCTCTGTTACCTCTGTTAAATCCGAGTTGTCAAACCAATTCACCATGGGGGGAGGAGGGGAGGGTGTGCGCCCCATTGTCAGAGGTGCCGTCCTTTGGGTGAGACTTTAAGATGAGGTTCCAGACCCTTCCCTTGACAATCTGCCAGAATGCGTTGATGATTCACCTCATAGGATCATAGAAATTTACAGCACAGAAGGAGGCCGTTTGGCCCATTGAGTCGACCCCGGTTCTCAGAGCAAGCTGGTCAGTCAATCCCACTGCCCTGCCCTATCCCCACACCCCTTCAAACCTCTATCCTTTCACCTATCTGAAGCCCACAATGGACTCTGCCTTTAGCACCTTACTTGGCAGAGCAAATCCAGCTGTGTTTGCAGGACCCAACTGCACACAACATCCTGCATTTGCTTACAGTCACTACACTTGAGAACAATAACAGGGAAAAGGGGCTTTGAGCCATTTGACGTGACCTGACGTGAGGAGTCTTTGTACAAAATAGAGTTGATTTCATTTCTCTCTCCCTTGATGACTCTCTCCTAACTGCAGGATGACGGATTTCCCGGCCAGACCGGCCCTGATCCCGAGGGTGATCCCAGTCAAGCGAGCTCGCGTTGTCATCCCGGTGCTGAGGAGGGGGAAGGTTGGTGTTCCCGCCAAGCTAACGGCGCGCTCCACCATCGCCAGCAAAACAGCCGCCAAACTAAAGTGTGAGTTTCAACAGGACCTTCAAGAAATGGGGTGATGCACACTAGGGATGGTTCAGATGGCGACACACTCCGTCTGTACTTGTTCAGGTGGACTTACACAAACACACAGTCACTATACATTACAGTGTATTCTGTGAAGCGCTTTGAGACATCCTCCCGACGTGACAGGCGCTATATCAGATGTAAAGGGATTAAGTATTATGGTAACTGATTTCTGGGGGGGGGGGGGGGGAATTCCCCTCTATTTGGCTGATCGAGTCTCCAGAAAACATTCAATGAAGGTAATAAATCACTTAAACATTTCCCGAGTGAGTTCATTACATTGAAGAAAATCAAGTGATTCACACACTGAGCGACAACAGGGTGATTCCAATTACTGGAGAGGAGCCGCCACCTGCTGGTAGTTCCCAACCTTTTATTACTGGTCACTGCAGCACAAAAAGGATATAGGAGAAATCATAAAATTATACAGAATTAAATCGAGAGGATACAAAGGAGGGCAACTAGAAAGATTGAGGGAATGGAGGGACTGGACTATGAGGAGCGACTAAGTAAATGGGATATGATCACGCTGGAAAAGAGACGATCGAGAGGCGACATAATTGCTGTCTTTAAGATTCTAAGGGAGCAAAACAATATAATAATAATAATCCTTGCATTTGATATAGCGCTTTTCACGTCTTTTCGACGTCCCAAAGCGCTTCACAGAATATACTGTAAAGTGAATTGACTGTATATTTGTGGGCGAACGCGGCAGCCAATTGCGCACAGCAGTGTCCCACAAACAGTCGTAGATTGAAAGTGACCAATTTATTATTGTTTTTGGTTTTGGAGGGATTATTATTAGGCTCTGTGTGGAGTAAGGAAACTTGCCCGAGGTTTGGCCCTCTGCCTGGAATTGAACTCAGGTCTCTCACTTGCAAAGCGAGTGCTCTAACCACTGAGCTACAGGACTCCTACATAGATAATATAGATCATGACAGGCTGTTTCAACTTATCCAGAATAGTAAAACCAGAGGACATGGTCTGCATTGAAGGGGGTAAACGAATCTACACAAACACTATTTCAGTGAGAGAATAGTGAACCTGTGGAACAGCCTCCCTACGGAGACGCTTGAAGCAGGAAATGTTGATTCTTTCAAACACAGATTAGATAGTGTTCTTTTAGGAAATAACATGGGATACAGTACATAGGACATATGTGCAAGCGACTGCCAGGAAGGTGGAAGGCAAACTAGACGGACCTTGGTCTTTTTTTGTCTCGCATTTCTTATGTTCTTATTCTACCAAAACTTCTGCAAAGTTTTACCTCTTATATTTCTTCCAATTGTTTGACTTAAGAGTTAAACGTTTTGAATGGAATACATTTCCCTGGAGCTCTGTTTTTTGTTGCTTGGGATGGGGGAGATATTGTATTCAGTAATAAATAGTGCGTTGAAAATTTTAAATCAATTTGGGGTTTTAATAAATTACAGTCACTCAGAAAAATAAATTTGGAGGTAACTTTAAGGTGCTTTTCTTGTTTTTCACAATGGTTCTGCATATGGGCGTGTGTGGACGGCGTAAACTGCTTCAAGTTCAAACACAGAGTCAATTCATGCAAGAGAGAGAGAAGGGACATGGAGAATAGGCAGCAAAATGGAATTAAAAGGTTGCCCAAACTTTAATGGTGGAACATTTTTTTCCCCAGCCAAAAACCAATCACCGTTGCTTAAGACGACAACAACAACAAAGTTACATTTATAGAGCGCCTTTCACATCGGGAGGACATCCCAAAGCGCTGAACAGTCAGATGTCGGGGCCGGAGCATGGGGGAGGGGTGGGGTAGGGGTGAGGGAAGGCAGAGAGGTGGGAGGGAGACCAAAGGCACGGTCGAAGAGAAGGGTCTTGAGACCGGCCTTGAAGGAGGCGAGGGAGGAAGCGAGGCGAAGGGACCGTGGGATCGAGTCTCCATGAAGAGTCTCCAAACCAACCTGAGAATTCCATGCCTCCCACCTACACACAGAAATCCCAGAGATATTAGTTGGAATGGAATGCACTCTCTTCCTGGAGGGATGCATCCTGCTTACCTAATTCCGGAAAGTATCAGGCGAGAACCAAGGCTGGAGGAGCCCAGAGTGTGCGTTGGGGTAACTGCTGGAGTCTAACCAGCTAAACCACACAGCTTGCCATTGAATGGTGGAACTAAAAGGAGGTTGGCCGGCCACTTCGCCTCTTTCAGTCTCTGTCTCTGTCTCCTCTCCAGTGAAGTCAAACGAACTACAGCGGATCAAGCTGGAGCTGATCCAGATCAAATCGAACATCGACTCCTTGCTGGGGCGGCTGGAGCAGATCTCAGAGGAGAAAGAGCACGCGGGTGAGTGAGATCGCTGTCTCGCCCACAAAACACACAGTCACTACACTTTACAGTTTATCCCGTGAAGCGCTTTGAGACGTCTCCAAGACGCGACAAGGTGCTGTATCAAATGCAAGAATTATTATTGTCACAGACACTGTCCTCCGGCTGAGATGTTACACTCAGGTCCCGCCTGTGTTCGTTCTGGCGGATGTTAAAGATTTCACGGCGCTGTTTGAAACAAGCAGGGAGTTTATAATAATAATTATAACACAGTTCATTCACTTTACACTAAATCCCGCAAAAGGCTTTGAGAATTGCTCCTGATGTGAAAGGTGCTGTGGTTATTTTGTTGCTGGGTGATATACGTGTTAGATGATCACATCGCTCCCCCACTCTCACCCCCCCCACCACTCCCCAGACACCAAGAGGAAAGCGGAGGAGAACAGGAAAGATTTCCCGCAGGAAGACTCGCCTTCAGAGTCTGCAGACATTCCTACCGAGGATCCCTCCGAAGCCGATGGGGAGGAGCTGGCAGAGGAGACGGAGGATAACGAAGACTGTGAAATGGTGAGGATTGGGAATACCAGGAGCAGGAATATCAGTGACCCCTCCCCAGCCCCACCCCGGGTACAGAGACCCTGCCCCCCTCCTCCCCTCTGCCCTGGGTACAGAATAATGCCTGTCCTCTGGGACTCTACCCTGCGCGAGGAGCGTGATATAAATGCAAATTGCTGTTGTGTTGTTCCCCCCACCTCCTCTCTCCCCTCACACTACCCCCTCTCGCCCTCCCTCCCCCTCTCCCCCACCTCTGCCCTGTATCTGAAGCTGTCATTCAGGAATTTTAAAAAATTTAAATAAAATAATGTAACAAATATAATAAAAGGAATTGTTTGAAACCTCAAACACTCGCTCACCCGAACAAGCAGCCCCCCCACCCACCCCATCCCCTCCCCTTCCAGGCTGATTTCAGGGCTGAACCTGACTGTGTTTTCAGGAGAACAGCCACAGTGCAGCAGCCAACACTACTACACATTAAAGGTGGGTACCGTTCTGAGATGGCACAATAAAGGTATGTAGGTCTTCAACCAATCTCTCACCCGGTCGACGTGTGTGTGTGTGTGTGTGTGAGTGTGAGTGAGTGAGACCCACCCAGTGGAGGAGACTTCACATGTTAAAGATTTTCCTGTCTCCTTTCTGTTTATTTAGCTTCTATAATAATTCTATAATCCTTGCATTTGATGCAGCGCATTAACACATCTTCAAGACGTCTCAAAGCGCTCCACACGATATATTGTACAGTGCTAATCATGTTATTATGTGTTCTGTGAATATAATAGGTACATAAATAATAATAATCCTTGCATTTGATGTAGCGCTTTTCACGAATTCTCGACATCTCAAAATACTTCACAGAATAGACTGTAAAGTGAATTGACCGTATATTTGTGGGCGAAATATATCCAGTGTAGTGTATGATCTGTGATCCCTTTTGTAAAGATAGTGTCACTGCACAGGTTTCTGCCCTCACACACTGTGGTAAGCTGTGAAGCTGTGGCTTACAGCAAGCCTCTCGTTTATATCGCAGGGTGAGCAGCAGTGAACAGCCTGGCAGGATGGACGGAGAAACCGTATGAAACCACCAAGGAGATGAGCAAGCGGGGGCCAGAAAGGGAGCGGGTTATACGGCTCGTTTGCAACACTGCTATTGGTCGGGGAGGGGGCGGAGGGGTTAGAGGGTGAGGAGGGAGGGCAATCTCTCAGGCCCCGAGATGTGGAGAAAGCAGTGATGCTCTGGGAGGGAAAACCACTTGCTTGTCAATCGCAGTTCAGTCTATCTTCATCATTCCCCGAGGACTGTATTTGGGAAAATTCAGATTTTTTAAAAATAAAATCTCCCCCCACCTCTCCCCCTCCGAGAGCGGGAGGCTTTTCTCCTCTGCCATCATCTTCCCATATCTCCACCTGTGTCACATTTGTCTCCTCACCACAACCCCTCAGTGGTCCCATTATCTCAACACTCACTCTCATTTCTCTCTGGGATAATAATTTATGGTCGCTCAGGGCTGACGGTGGGAGGGGAATGGAGGGGTGTTTGGGGAGATGGGGAGAGGAAGGACTGAATTGTAAACCATAGTTTATTTTTTTAAGTTAGCAGGAAACTCCCTTTATTTCTATGACATTTTTCAGTATGAAATAAAAAGTAAATTAGAAATGAAATTGTGTTTTCATTGGATTCCGAGGCCCAAGGTATTGCGCGTTTGCTTAATCCTTGCATTTGATACAGCGCCTTATCACATCATTAAGACGTCTCAAACCTCTTCTCAGAATATACTGTAAAATGGATTAAATGCGTATTTTGTGGGCGAAACACGGCAGTCAATTGCACACAGCAACGCCCCACAAACAACCATGGAGTGAGTGACTGATTTTATTTGGGGGAATTGTCATCCAGGCACCGTGAGAGAGAAACTCCTTCCTCTTTTTGAATAACTGGGATCTTTAACATCCACCTGAATGGGGAGACGGGACCTCGGTTTAATATCTCATCCAGAAGATGACACCTTCGTCAATGCATCACCCAACACCAATCCCCCCTCACCCCACCCAGGATGCATCAGAGTTTACAGTTTAGACTATGTGACTCAAAACACCTGACATCAGAGAATGAAAGACCACAACATCCGACCGCAAGCCAGAGAACAGTAACCCTCCCTGACTCTTTCTCATACCCTTCTGTCGATTGCTTTGACAGTTTGATATCTCATTCTCTCTAATTTTCTCTCTCAAAACTGCCGACTAACCTCCACATCATGATGAAAACGCTTTCTGAGTGTCATTAAAATAGGTCTTTTGCATATTACGTATTCCAAATGGGCCACCAAGTGAGAAACACTGAGCTCCCCTCTTCATCCTGTCTGAACTTTAAACTATTGCTGAGATCTCCAATCTGGGAATTGCCCATAGCCTTCAGAAGCAAAGCTATAACATAGCCAGCGAGATGTCCTTCTATAAAATAGATGGATGTGAAATGGTTAAACAACAACAACAACATGACATTTATAGAGCGCCTTTCACGTCGGGAGGACATCCCAAAGTTCTGGACAGTCAGGGGTCAGGACCGAGCATGGGGGAGGGGTGGGTTAAGGGTAAGGAAAAGCAGAGAGGTGGGAAGGCGACCGAAGGCACGATCGAAGAGGGTCTTGAGACCGGCCTTGAAGGAGGCAAGGGAGGAAGCGAGGCGAGGGGAATGTGGGATGGAGTTCCAGAGAGTGGGGGTAGAGAGGCTGAAAGCTCGGCCACCGATGGTAGGTCGGTCGGGCGGGGGACATGCAGCAGGCCGGAGCCCGCTGAACGGAGGGAGCGGGCAGGTTGGTAGGGGGTCAGCAGGTCAGAGAGGTAGGAGGGGGCGAGGCCATGGATGGCTTTGAAAGTGAGGACGAGGATCTTGAATTCGATCCTCTGGGGGATGGGGAGCCAATGGAATCGGGTGAGGGTGGGAGTGATGGGGTCGCGGAGCCTGGTACGTGAGAGTACATGAGCTGCAGAGTTTTGGATGATTTGCAGCCTGTGAAGGGAAGAGTTGAGAATTAATATTATTATTATTGGGAAGGCTGATGAAGAGGAAGTTTCCATAATCGAGCCATAATAATAATAGCAAAACCAGAAACAACTGGCAAATATGACTAAGCAATTGTTTATGTTCCCACTTGATCTCACAGCAACAGTGCTGGCTCCTCCAACCATGTGGTTTGCATTTACAAACATTGGGACTTCATCACAGGTCATAAATTCATCACTAGGATCTGGTTGCTTCAGGCCAAAATACAGCCCATCCCGGCTTTATACCCATGCAAAATTATAATTTGCAGTGTTCTGGAACGCGTTCTTTGCGATAATCAGCATACGGAAAATGTCTCCATTCTCATAAAGAACGTGTTATTTCATCCGAGTCTCTTTCACAGGATACACTGTAGTGGTGACTGTGTGTTTCGTGGGCGAAATGCTGCAGCCAGTTTGCGCACAGCAGCGTCCCACAAACAGTCATGGAGTTAGTGACCAAGTTTATCTGGGGATTGCTGGCCAGGGCACCCGGGGAGAAACGCCCTTCTCTTTTCGAATAGCGCCGCAGGATCTTTAATGTCGACCAGAACAGGGGCAGATGGGACCTCAGTATAACGTCTCATTTATGCATTTGGCAGCTGTAAATTTGACACACAAGTTTCAGTGCTAAAGGCGACTGCCTTTGTTGATCCAAGAAACACTCCAGTTTCGTACCGTCATTGTATGACCACGATCTTCAAACCTTTCAGACAAAGCCACCGTTAAAGATGGCAACGGCAAGAGATCAATTGTGTAAAAAGGTGCAGAATGAGCATTTGGTTCTAACGGTTAATGTAAATAATTATCCTCAAATTTGATATAGCGCTTTATCATGCCTGCGAGACATCTCAAAACACTTCACAGAATATACTGTGAACTGAACTGACTGATTATTGTGTGGGAGAAGCATGACAGCTATTTGTGCCACAGCAGTGCCCTACAAAACAGTCATGGATTGAGTAACCAAATAATCCACAATAATTGCATTGTAGCTCCAATGGGAACATTGAAACACCGATAAATAGGGTTAAACCATGTTGAATGTTACATGGATCACTGGAAGACTTTGCACGTGTCCACTGAAACTTGATTAAGTTCCCGAGATTGGTTGATGGATTGCTAATGGGAAACAGATCACAATCACGCTGACTCCGTCAAGGCCAATCTTCAGTAAGTAGCTCCACAGCCACAAGGGATTAATCCACACGTCAGCACCAAATCTTAGTCTTCAATTGACTCCCAAGAAATGTCTTTCCTGGCAGCAAAGCCTTTTCCTCATCTTTGCATACAAGTCACTTGCTCCTCTGCCTTCTCAGAGCTGAGTGTAACAAAGTAACATTACTCAAGCGAGTAAGATTACATAAAGTGCTCTGTTCTTCGAGCACATTTGAGCTCCAGGTGTGTGACGGACAATGAGCCCGTCATTCCCTGCTTTTGACACCGCTAGATTCACCAGAATAATACCAGGGCTTAATGGGTTAAATTACAAGAACAGGTGGCATAATCTGCCTCTCCCAAGAACTCAATCTGGTCTTTCAACATTTTCAAATACATCTCCTTACTTTGTGTTTGGCAGCAGTCTCCTCATGGTGATGTGCATATGCTTGAAGCATTTCTAGAGTCATCTTACAGTAAAGATGTTCTGTAAGTGTGAGCTGTGTGTTCCGTTGTTGTTAGCATTCCCTCCACAGCAGGCGGCTGATTAAGGAATAATGGCATTTCTGTTCCACATCCATCTAGAGGTATCACATGATGTATTACCTTCCTGAGGCAGAACATACATCACCCTCCCCTCAACTCCTCTCCAATTCCCCCTTTTTCCAGACCAGCAGATCTGCTACGCCCCAACCCACCAACCGTGCCACATCCACTTGATACTGCACAACACTGAAAACTTAGTGAGGACAGCACAACATGTGAAAATTATAGATTGGGATTATGATGACGTGGAACATACTTGGCAAGTTACCCAACTCGCCGGTCAGTCCTGTGATACCACACATTTCCAAGATGCCACAGTATCTATGTGAAGCACCATTGTATCTATGTGAAGCACCATCTATGTGAAGCACCATCGTCCTCCTGACGTGAAAGGCGCTTTATAAATGGAATCTTGTTGTTGTTGTTGTTGTATAGCAAAGAACTTCAAAAAGGCCTTTCACAACAGAGAGGGAAAGTAAATTCCGATGCTGTGCTCTGGAGTTGTTGTTCTGGTCTGGCACAGTTGGAAATAAAGCATGATACACCAGTCTATGTCAAGCGGTCCTTTTACTTTATTTTAAACAACTTCCAGTGCACTCCAAGTCTGTTCCACTCAATATGCCACACAAGGGTGGGGTGGGGAATGATCAACAGCGCCTTAAAAATAATTGCACTCGGCACTCCGTTGCAGCAGTAAAGAAAAATAGTTACAAAATCCACTTTATTCAGCATCTACAACATTTCTCGGGATTATTCCTAAAAGGCATTATCCACCCCCCACCTCATAACTACAGTAGGAAACATCAAAACCATCATTTTCCTCTCTCTCCGAAATCACAAATGCCGCAGTTTGTATTTGAAAGAATGCTCAACACAGGCCAGAGGATGATGCATCAAGCCTGTCACACTCCTCACAAACAAGTCAGGGATTTGAATGTTTGTGGTGAAAGATCCAGATGTCAGGAATAATGGGCAAATGGAAGGGATGCATCTCAGTGAAACTAATAAAGACAATGCTGTATATAATTAATCAGCCAAAATAATGGTAATCTCACAAAAGGAGAATAATTGACACAGGAAAACCAGGCTTTTAAGGGGAGAAACACTTTTTGCCTTAATTGGCTTAAGAAATAGTGCCACTTCTCTACCTTTCCCTTCTCCAAATAACAAACCATTTGCCAATTTTATAACGACATGATAAGGCGCTATATCAAATGAAAGGATTACTATAACTCAAATTGATTTGGATTAATCAGGAAGACATGTTTTAAGCAGGAAACCGTGGCTAATTTGGAGCCTCTGCATCACTCCCGCTCCACCCCACCAAACAACAGCTTGGAGGGATGAGTGAAGTGTGCAACAGACAACAATGTCTGGGACTTCACCCTGCAAAGCTAGTGGACACCTCACTCAACCCCAGATTCTAAACTCATCAAATTATCCATTTAATGTTTGCCAACTATACTATAATCTGACTGTTATGTAACTAAATGAGATGTGCATTGTGTTTGAGAACAGTCCAATACTGTGCCCGGGAGATGCTGGATTGTACACAGGAGGGCTGGTGGTGCGAGAGCGAGATTGGTCCTGTGTCAGACTTAAGTCTTATTCAAATAAACACAAGTATATAAAAGTAACTCAGTGTTAAGTTCAGAGTTTTAAAACACTGAAAAGCTCTTACTGATAGGCAGATGTCCATCTTGTGTCTCTGCGTGTTCACATGCTCCTCACAGGTGCCTGTTACCATCGAGTTGGTACCTAGCTCCTGCCGATCAGATCAGCTGAACTGCTCTGCAGTGACCATCAGTGTTAGCAGCTAGTTTACAGCTTCCTCGACAAGTCACTCTATAGTTTTAATTTTGAACAGTGTTTAATTTGGAATCAAACAGTTGCAGAATCATGTTGAGAGTTACTGTAACAACAACTTCATTACTTTATTACACCTCAAGTCTCAGTACATTTCCACCAACCGGTCGGTGTACAATCCAGGAGAAGGGCGATAGTAATCGGTTATACATACCACCTATCCACCTTTCTCACCCTCCCTCCCCCCAAAAAATAACCCCAGATGAACATGGGGAGACCCTCCATGATCATTGCAAAACATGGTAAAGTCAGTTGCTATAGACCGTGCTGAACCCTGGCCAGATGGAAAAGCTAGGCTGCTGGGGCCATTTGGATTAAGTTGTTTTGATTAAAAAAAATCTAAATGTGTCCCTATTGATATTTGTTTTGTTAAACCATTTATATTTGGTGACAGTATTTAATTTTCACCCTTCCCCACCCCCACCCTCCCCACAACCTAACACAAAGCGGCCAGAACAGGATAGCCAGTGGCCGGGGAGAGGGGGGGGGGGGTCAGTTGATGATACTGCAGTAAGATGCATTGATGCGTTAGGAGCTTCCTTAATCACTATTGCAGTTAGTACAAGTCTCAGTGCAGAAGGCAATCTCCTTGGGTATTTGCACATGGGTGGCCTGAAGAGGGCACATTAACTGTACTAACACAACACACTCTCATCTCTGGAGGCGTTCACAGAGAAAGGCTCTCCCTTCTCACTCTGGTACCTCTTAGTTGGCGACTCGGCACCAATTTGTGTTATCTTTTCGGGATGCACTTAAAACCCTCCCCTACCCCCACCCCCGGGTCCAGTAAAACAGTCCTATCACATCACTCCCCAACTGCCAGTGTGGCTCTGACCCAGGCTAGTTGGCCTTGGCTCGGAGCTGTGCTCGTTTGCCTGTCACAGCTTGGAAGCCGGTCTTGATGCTGGCGACTGAACATCGTGAATGACACGTTTCACACTGTAAGAAATACAGACGTGTGTCTTTCTGCAAGATGGTGTCTGGTGATCGACAGGTGTGGCACGTCACATATTCCTCTGAGGGGCGAGGTAGGAAAAAAAATAATTAAAATGAGCTACAACAAATTGGCATTTACACAGCACTTTTCACACAATATAAACTTGTTTATAAATGAAGTGAAGCAAAAGTGCCATCTACTCTTAGCTCTGTCCCCAAATTGGCCTCAGGTGGCAGAGGGAGTGTCCCTCCAGCAATAGGTGTGCGCACTCCAATCCAGACAGTGACATTTCCACGTCTAAAAATATAGAAATATGCTGCTGATCTCTCAAAAGAATTTGCTAGACAAAAAAAGATAAAAGTCCATCCAGATCACCTTCCTCCATCCTGGCAGTCACATACACATGTCAGGTCCCAAACTATATACTGCATATACATACTCTCAGGGCAGCTTTAGTATTGCACTGGTAACATTGTATTAAAATATAGAGCATTTAATATTTAAAAGTAACAGCCGTACAGGAACTTCAGCCCAAGACACATACAGGAGTTATGTGCACTGGTCAGGAATCACTGTCCTTCTGCCATGGGAAATGTATGACTTAGTCTGGTTTGGGATGGTTTTCTGTGTGTTAAGAGATACACCAGACCGCAAGAAGGATGCTGGTTGAGGACAAAGCTAAACCTGTATTTAGAATGTTGTTGTGCTGATGAGAATCATCCCCAAGCATTTAGATAGTTTGCACCTAAAGCTCGATCTTCCGCAGTTAATTGAAAAATAGTTGCTAATGTTGCACCAGAGGGCGCCAGACGGATGCCAGCGAGCAGATGTGCAGGTGGTTACAGCCGCAAGAAATTAATCTGGGCAATAAAAGGGGTAAAGAGGAGCATTCGGAGAAAACAAAAGATATTTCAGAGTGCACTATCAATTTAGTGATCACTCCCCAATGCTTTGAGATCACTGTCCTTTTGCCTTCTCCCCCCCACCTTAAGGGGAAGGAAGGTGGGAGGGAGGGACAGTGGAAGGTAAAAGGACAGTGATCGCTGACCATCACACGTAAACTCCTGTATGCTTCTTGTGCTGAAGTTGCTGTGTGGTTATTGCTTTTAAATGTTGTTCTATATATTCTATATTTTAATACATTACCAGTGCAGTACTAAAGCTGCCCTGAGAGATCAGCAGTGTATTTCTGTATCAGAGGAATTTCACAGCATTGCCACAAATGGTGAAATATTAAAATAAAAGCCCAGCCAGACATCACTGGAGCCTTTAACATAAATCTTTAATCCTCCCTTTTCAAAATTAGGGATTCTAAACACAATCAACTTTTGATTGTGGCGAAAAATACAAAGTGTCTGCAGTACTTACTGATGTATCGCCTCAATACGTTTTCTATTTGTTTCTGCTGAAACCTTCCTTTGATTACAAGCTGGCTGTTGCCATCAATGGATCCACTGTTAAAAAAAGTTTCATTATTAAAATAATTATTCAAGCTGGTTAATACGTGGAGTCCCAGAGCATAGTGGTTAGCGCACCCGCCTCGCAAACGAGAGGATCCGGATTCGATTCCTTAGGTAAGTTTCCTACACTCCACACACCTGTTCACCTAGCAGTAAGTAGGTAGCCGTTCGACGACTGGCGGATCGGCTTCTGGGGTTAAGAATCCCTTAAAAAAAAGTCACTCAATCCACAAATGTTTGTGGGACACTGGTGTACACAATTGACTACCAGGTTTCACCTACAAAATACAGTCACTCCACTTTACAATATACTATGTGAAGCACTCTGAGATGTCACAACAACATATCATTATTATTGACAACAGTGATAAAATGGCCCTTTCCATGGTCAGTGGCTGGTTATATGCTAAAGTGCTGTACTGTAGTTTTACTGTTTGAGTGCACAAGAGTGAGTGTCACCATTCTGGCAATTTACATTCTCATGGTTCAGAAAATGGAGGAATTACTTGTCCATCAGCAAACCGTGAACCAATGCAGTGAAATGCTGATCAGCTTCACCCTGTGCAGGTGATAGATCTAATCAACTCTCATTAAGTTGCATTTCATCAAGGCTCTGTGGGAATGAAGCCTAGTGGAAAGCAGCAGTGCCAAAGGGTTTCATTTGCACGTGAAAAGAATAAAACCAGAGCACTGAGGTTCTCAATCAGTGTTCTCTCTCTGATCTTGAAGATAAAAGACACAACCAATCTGAGTATGTTTATATATTTAAAAAAATACAGCTGGAGACTTGCCAATAGCACATATTGCTTTAAGCAAGATTATTAAATTTAAAAATTCAAGATTTAAGGAATTATGTTCTGAAATATTGCAAATTATTATTATTTTCTTTGGTCAGCCAGGTGTCCGACAACTGACCGATTTGCCCTTCCGAGTCCCGTCTGACTGGTCTGTCATCAGCGGTAGCTTAGATTTCATTGCAAATGAAATCCTAAGATTTTAACATTATGATGTTTCTTTGCAATTTGTTGTACTTAATATTATACTTTTAAATTACAGCTCAGGAGGCTGTGGAATAATAATAGCACTGCTTTTTTTCAAAATAAAAAATATTTTATTATTTCAAGAAACAAAATTGTTCACTTCAATCCATGACTATTTGTGGGACATTGCTGTGTCAATTCACTTTACAGTATACTCTGTAAAGTGCTTTGAGACGTCTAGAAGACGTGAAAAGCACTATATCAAATGCAAGGATTATTTTTATTATTAAGCTCGGAAAGCTAACAAAACTTTGAGTTGGAAAAATCATCTTGTTTTATTTGAAGGAAGATTCTCTTAAGAATCACGATTGTTTACTTACAGTTTCTGAAAGGCAACACGGCTACAATGATAGTTGCATTTGATATAGCGCCTTATCACATCTTTGAGATATCTTGAAGCGCTTCACAGAATATATTGTAAAGTGAATTGACGGTGTCGACTAATAACTGGGTTCCTACTTGCCGCTAGGTAAACAGACGTGTGGAGTAAGGAAACGTGCCCATCGTTTCGCCTTGCCCGGGATTCAAACCCAGGTCCTCTCGCTTTCGAGGCGAGCACTCTACCCACTATGCAATAGGACTCCATGGTGGCTTCCAGCATGCATCGACACCTCGAAAGTGATCGAAAGTTACTGCTATACTCTACAGTTAACAGTCATGAGAATGAATCTTGATCACAGCTCCTGATTGAATTTATGGAATTCACTACCCCAGAAGGCTGTAGATGCTCAGTCTTTGAACATTTTCAAGGCTGAGACTGATAGATTCTTGAAAAATAGAGGGATTAGGGGATATGGGGATAGGGCAGGTAATCAGAGTTAGGTGAGAAGATCAGCCATGATCTTATTGAATGGCGGAGCAGGCACGAAGGGCCGAATGGCCTACTCCTGCTCCTAATTCTTATATTCATGTATAAAGTACAGGAGGTTGATCTAGGTTCATTCTGCAACTTTGCAGAATGGCCAGTTGTCTTGCCTAAAATGGCAATAGGATAGACATCGCTGCCACAAGCATTTGGTATAGCGCCTTATCAGGTCTTCTAGACGTCTCAAAGCGCTTCACAGAATATTCTGTAAAGTGAATTGACTGTATATTTGTGGGCAAAAGGCAGCAGCCAATTTCATATAACAGTGTCCCACAATTTGTATGACCAAATTTATTTTTAAATTTTTTTGAGGGATTATTATCCATCAGAAAAGTGATCTGCCAATCGACGAACAACTGGGTTTCTACATACTGCTGGTAAACAGAGGTGAGTGGACTAAGGAAACTTGCCTAACATTTCACCCTGCTGGGAATAGAACCCAGGTCTCTCGCCTGCGAGGCGAGTGCTCTAACCACTGAGCAATGCTTTTGGGCAACATTACAGCATCCAAGTGATTTTGCTTTTTAGCAATCGAGTCACGCAATCCACCCCCAATGTCTGGGGTATGGAGTCCAGCATTGCCATCTGCATGCATTTTAGATCATTACAGTTCCTTACTGGTAACTGTCAATAAATTATTTATAACCTCAGCAAATTAATTTATCTCATATGCTTTGAGCCCAGTTTACAGACATGCGGATCATGTTTTCTCATCCCCATTTAAAAAAAGCAAAAAAACGCTTTTGGCAATATATGCGAGACTTTTCATCCTTATTTATAGCCCCATCGCTGGGAAATGAATGGTTTGTATCAAGCAAGCGAGCTGGAGTGAGCTGTGACAGGTGGTTATAATCTTTTTATTCGGAGCTTTGAGATCAGCACAAACTTAACTCCTTCACCCAGGAGCTTTCCCTCATTGTGAAGTTGGAACTATTTCTGTTTGTAGGTGATTCGAAGACAGGGTACAAATTTAGTCCTGTAGTTTTGTGGTTAGAGCACTCGCCTAGCAAGCGAGTTTGATTCCCGGGCAGTGTTCAGGTTAGAACATTCTAGGCTCAATTCTTGTTCTGTGTTACATCAATAACACAATCTCAGCTGGGACAGCAGTTTGGACATTACAATCAGCTCCCTTTGAGCTAGAAGGTGGAAGAATTCGCAGTTCCTTCCCTTAATTCTAACCAAAACCTCTTACTGAATTGTGCACGTTAGGAACAAAGGAACAGGTTAGGCTATTCAGCCCCTCGAGCCTGTTCCACAATTCTATAAGATAATAATAATCCTAATGATAACCGAGGGGCCGAATGGCCTACTCCTGCTCCTACATCTTATCTTATGGTCTTGCATTTGATATAGTAAATTATCACATATTCGAGACATCTCAAGGCGCTTTACAGAATATACTGTAAAGTGAACCAACTGTATATTTTGTGCGATCTTTAACGTCCACCTGAACAGGCAGACGGAACCTCAGTTTAACGTTTCAGCCAAATGACGTCTCCTCCGACAATGCAAAACCCCCCGAGTGTCGGAATCACACAGTCTAAACTAAGTCCCCACATGGGGCTTGAACCCGCAACATGTGACTCAGAGGCGACAGCACAACCACTGAGCCAGGCTGAATTGACTGAAACTGTTTTATTTCGTGTTTCGTTCTGCTTCAATTCCATTTATCATTTGACGTTTATACAACAAGTGAAGACGGTGGGAGAGGTACGACCTAATCCACTCAAGGACAGGGCCTTGAAGGTTGAGGTGGGAGGACAAGCGGTGGAGGATAGCATGGTCGACCGTATCGAATGCTGCCGATAGGTCGAGGAGGACGAGGAGGCAGAGGGAGCCCTGGTCACAGATGGTCAGGATATCATTGGTGACCTTGACCAGGGCAGTTTCTGTGCTATGGGCAGCACGGAAACCCGACTGAAGGGGTTCGAATAATGAATGGGTGGAGAGGAAAGAGCGCAGCTGGGAGGCGACAACTCTTTCAAGGACCTTGGACAGGAAGGGGAGGTTGGAGATGGGCCGGTAGCTTGATAGCTGCGACGCATCAAGGGAGGGTTTTTTTCAAGGTGGGAGTGATGACAGTTTTTAAGGGAATGGGAACAGAGCCAGAGGAGAGGGACAGGTTGACGATGTGGGGCAAGGAGTTGGAGCTGGGAGATAAGGAGTGGAGTGGGGATGGGGTCAAGGGAGCAGGTGGTGGGTTTCAGGGATGGGATGAGTTTGGTGACAGAGGGTGGGGAAACGGGTACGAAGGTGTGTAGGGGAGGATGGGTAGGAGTCGGAGTGTGGGAGGGAGGGGGCGGGGGGTGGGTGGAGGTTGGAGGGGAAGTGACCGCAGAGCAGATTCCCTTGATTTTGGATTCAAGGAAACCCAGCATCTCCTCACAGTGAAGGTTGGAGGAGATGACCTGCGCGGGGTGGCGACGGAGGAGTCGGGATGTGGTAGAAAACAGAAGCCTGGGGTTGTTCTTCGCCTCCAGGATTATCCTGGAGTAGAAGGAGGACTTGGCAGAGGATAGAGTGGAGCGGTAGGTTTTGAGGAGGTCCAGCCAGATTGGTTGGTGGACAGTTAGGCCAGATGTGAGGTAGGTGTGTTCAGCGGCCCGCACCTGGCTCTTCAATGAGCGGAGGTGGGTGGTGAACCAGGGGGAGGAGCGAGAGTAGGAGACAGTACGGGAGGTGATGGGGGCAAGAGTGTAGAGTGTGGAGGAGAGGGTGTTGTGGAGGAGGGTGAGAGGAGAAGAGGGGTCAGTGAGGGTTGAAGGCCAGAGGGAGAGGAGTTCAGAGGACTCCAAGGCAGCGGTTAGGGATTGTGGGGGTAACTTCTTCCAGGGGCGGTAGAAGATGGTGGTGGGTCTGGTGGAGGTGGGGAGTGGAGGTGGTGAAGGAGATGAAGTGGTGATCGGAGATGGCCTTGTCAGTGATAGTGACATCCAAGACACTGAGGCCCCGGGTGATCACCAAGTCGAGTGGGTGGCCGTGACTGTGAGTGGGGGAGTTGATGTGGAGGGAGAGGTTGAGTGAGGAGAGCAGGGAAGAGAAGTCCGAGGAGATGGAGCAGGAGGGGGTGAAGTGCAGGTTGAAGTCGCCCAGGATGATGAGGCGATCAGAGCAGAGGCAGAGAGATGTAAGAAGTGTCGAAATATCAGAGATGAAGGTGAGAGGTTTTAGGGGGCCGGTAGAGGAGAAGGATTTTGAGTGAGAGGAAGGAGGGATGGGAGAGGGTGAGGTGCTCGAAAGAGGGGAACGAGCCAGAGAAGTAGGCGGATTGGGCAAGTGGTGTCCTTGAGATAAGGGCTACACCACCACCACGGCGGTTGGGGCGAGGGATGTGGTGGGAGGTGTAGCCGGGTGGTGTGGCCTCCGTGAGGGGGAAGGTGTCACCTGGGGTGAGCCAGGTTTCCGTTAAGGCCATGATGTCAACGCTCTCATCAAGGAGTAGGCCATTCGGCCCCTCAAGCCTGTTCTCCATTCTATAAGATCATGGCAGATCTGTACCTCAACTGAAATTACCCGCCCTTGCCCCTTAACCCTCGATATCCTGATTTAACAAATATCTATCCACCTGGGTCTTGGAATGTAAACAGCAACAGCATTTGGGGGAGAGAACGCCAGATTTTCATTACCCTTTTGACGAAAACCTGCCTCCTGATTTTACTCCTAAATGGCCTAGCGCTAGTAGACCAGCAGCAGGCTAGGCAGCGAATGGCTTGCTGACACTCGTTATCTAACTCATCACTTGAACAAAACTTGGGATAATGTAGCTATCTAAGAAGAAAACAGAGAGTAGGGATAAACGGGTCCTTCTCAGATTGGCAGGATGTGACTAGTGGAGCGCCACAAGGATCAGTGATTGGGCCTCAATTATTTACAGTCTATATCAATGATTTAGATGAGGAAAGAACTTAACATATCTAAATTCGCGGACGATACGAAGATAGGTGGGAGAGTAAGCTGTGAGGATGACACACGAAGAATGCAAAGGGAAATAGACAGGTTAGGCGAGTGGGCAAGAAAGTGGCAGATGGAGTATAACATGGGGAAGTGTGAAGTTATTCACTTAGGTAGTAAAAATAGAAAAGCGGATTATTTTCTAGAGGAGGAGAGACTAGGTAGTGTTAATGTTCAGAGTGATTTGGGTGTCCTTGTATACCAGTCACAAAAAGTTAGTATCCAGGTACAGCAAGCAACTAGGAAGGCTAATGCCATGTTGGCATTCGTTGCAAAAGATTAGCGTACAAGAGTAGGGAAGTCTTGCTACAGTTGCATAAGGCCTTGGTGAGACCACACCTAGAATATTGTGTGTAGTTTTGGTTTCCTTATTTAAGGAAGGATATACTCACTTTAGAGGGGGTGCAGCGTAGATTCACTAGGTTGGTTTCTGGGGTGAGGGGGTTGACCTATGAGGATCGGTTGAGTAAGGTCTATATTCTCTAAATTTAGAAGAATTAGAGGTGATCTTATAGAAACCTAGAAACCTTGACAGGGTACATGCCGTGAGACTGTTTCCCCTGGTTGGAGAATCTAAAACTAGGGGTCATAGTCTCAAGATTAAGGGTCAGCCTTTTCGAACTGAGTTGAGGAAGCATTTCTTCACTCAGAGGGTAGTGAATTTGTGGAATGCTCTACCCCAGAAGGCTGTAGATGAACATATTCAAGACTGAGGTTGATAGATTTCTAAAAGATAGAAGGATTAAGGCATATGGGGATAGGGTGGGTAAATGGAATTAGGTTAGAAGATCAGCCAAGATTTTATTAAATGGCGGGGCAGGCTTGAGGGGCTGAATGGCCTACTCCTGCTCCTAAGTCTTATGGTCTTATCAAATGTAAGGAGTCACGGCAGGGCAAAACCTTGGGCAAGTTTCCTTGCTCCACACACCTAATAATAATCCCTCAAGAAAAACAAATAATAAATTGGTCACTTCAATCCACGACTGTTTGTGGGACACTGCTGTGCGCAACTTGGCTGCCGCGTTTCACCCACAAATATACAGTCAATACACTTTACGGCCTATTCTGTGAAACGCTTTGAGATGTCTAGAAGACGTGAAAGCGCTATATTAAATGCAAAGATTATTATTATTATCATTATTAACACACCATATAAAATTTTCCTAAACATGCCACATAGAAACTGAATGGAGGACATACTGTGAATGCTCGAATCGGGAAAGCATTGCATGTAGTGCAACGAATGCACATCTAGTGACCACAGACTAGCTCTCCACAAGCTACCCATTTTTTTTTTTAAATTTAAATCTGGTTTAATAAAGGCAGAATCCTAACTTAACAAGTGTACACGCCACATGAGGCATGTGTTAAAGGGAAGGAAGTCCTGAAGTGGGGAAGGAGAATAAAGTACTTTTCTATTCAAATTACTCTTCTCAGCTATGTTCACAGTTGCAATTAAATGTAATGAAGTCACAATCGTTTCTTCAGTCGGGCTTTAGTTTAGGAACATCAAATGTCCTCATTTTACATTAGTTTAGTCACAAAAAATGCAACACCCAAAAAATTAGACCATCTTTGAATGGTATACATCATAACAGATTGACCCAGGAGCGTTCCACTGCATTAATCACTCCCAGGTACCTGACCTCACAGATGCAAGTGGAAAATCTTTATTCAATAACTGCAAGCTGCAACAATTTCAAGCTAATAAATCTTATGTCTGAGAGACATCATTGCGTCGGTTATGGATTAGCCACTTTGTCGCAAGCAATACGTGTGCAGACATGGTTGATAAAGCTCATTTAAAAAAAAATTAAAACCATTAAAAAGGGTTGAACGCCTCAGAGAGCCAAAGCTATAAGTGGTGAAGATGCTGTATTCTTTAATTTGGGCAAAGTTGCACTTCTAAAAAAAAATGTTGCTCACTGCATTTTCAGTTTTACTTCTCAGTTTTCCATTTAACACTGTAGAGGTACTCTCCTGCACTCTCTGACCACCCAAACAGACCCTTTGCTGCATTTTCTCCCAAATCTACAGCACACAAGAGATGGGCAGTCTGAATCCAGCTACCAGCAAGCACCCGCTCTAAGCCAGCTGTGAGACACATCCAGACCACTCAAACTACTCTCTCCCCTCCACTCAGCAGCTCCCTCGCCAAACAGAGGTCAGCATGGGTGGCAACAGTATAGAAACAGCTCCTAACCCTATCCTAACCTCCAACGTGCCATTCCTTTTGTCTGGGTTTAGATGCAGGACTCCCAATGGCTCAGTGGATAATAGAATACCAAGTGATGTGAGTCATACAGGTGAGGGCAGCTCCCAGGTTCAATTATGGGATTATGGATCATAGAGTTATGGTGAGAATAGTTGGTTTATAAAGTTTGTCTGTGGAAGTAAAAAAAGGAGAAAACAAAGCTCTTACCTTGTACCTAACTCAGCCAATAAAAACGCAAGAAGATGCTTGGGTTGACGATGGAGACTAGGGGATGGAAAAAAAAGCACAAGTTCTTATTAAACCCAGCTATTTACATTGTTGCTCTGTTCTGTACACGTCACAAACAAAACTCAGAATTGTTAGAGGGATTAGGGGAGAGGTTTTCAGCACTCAGAGGGTGTGCACAAGGGGCTATTGAGACTGATCAACAGGATCAGATTGTTCAAAGATGGGGAAATAGTTGGATTAATAAAAATATACCGGCACAGGCATGATGGGTCAAACAGCCGAAAATGTCTGTTTCTACGTAAATCACGAGTGGGTCAAACAGGTAAAGATAAAAAGAATGAATTATTAACCTTTATTTGTATACTATATATACATATATATTTATATATATATATATATATATATAATGTATACACACATACAAAATCTCAGCAAAGATTCCAGCTGGTCTGGGAATTTACATCCCCAAATAAAACATTTAACAATATGTGTTTAATATTGGGCAGAATTAAACAGAACGGCTATAAATAATGGGAAACAGTATACAATTAGAAAACTTAAAAGAAAATGTACAAGAAGTCATTCGAGAGGCATATTTCTTGGATGCACTCAAAAGCACTGTAGGCTACCTTTCATGAGGATTTACTGTCTTCAAGCAAAAAGTGTAAAATGTGGTGTATTTAATAAATTAATATTGCCTGTGTGTTGCAACGATAGCTGAACATGGTACTTGGAAATCACCGGAGCAAAGCAGCCTACTATCCAGGTGAATCTCCACATGATTTCAATATAGCTGAAACAATTGCTGAAGTAGATTTGGGTTTCCATGTGAGGGAGCATGGATATCATTCTGTACAGTCAAACCTTAATTTAGGCTGACATCCAAATGTATAGAATGATATCCAGTGCCTTGGAACATCCTCCCGACATGAAAGACTCTATACAAATTAAAACTGTTGTTGTTGACATTGGTGTGGGTGGGTTTCTGTAATAGAAAGAGATAGAGAAGGGATTTACTTACAGTTTGCAAATATCCGTGAAATTCACAAATGAAGTCTTCTTGGTTCCGACTCTGACCACCTGAGGTGGTTTCATTACAAACTTGCGCTTCTCACCGGCCACCATATCGGGGTTCTTTTCCCGCATTATATTAAATACTCGAGTCAGCAACTGCAGACAGACAAAATATTTCCCCCACAATATATAGTCAATTCACTTAAAGTATATTCTAAACCTTTTCCATTAAACTAAAGTATTACACAATTAAATAACTCACATTTCAACAACAACTTACATTTATATAGCGCCCTTCACAAGAGGTAGCTTCCCGGAGCGCTTAACAGTGGCGGAGTCTGACCCCGAGCCAGTGGGAGAGGGAGGGGGAGGTGACCCTAAGCACCATCAAAAAGGAAGGTCTTTAGGCAGGATTTGAAAGTGGGGAGGGAGGAGGGGGGGCTAAGGCAGAGTTTCAGACTTTCGGGACATAGTGCCTGAAGGCATGGCCACCGATGGTGTTGCAGAGGGGATGAACGAACAGGAGACCGGAGCCAGCCAAGTGGAGACAGACAAATTGGACAGGTAGGGAGGTGCGACAGCAGGAAGGGCATTTGAAAACACACAAGAGGATCTTGAAATCAATCAGTTTTGGGAGCCAGTGGAGCCTGGCAAAGACTGGTGTGATTGGGGTACTCAGTTTTTGTGTGGGTGAGAATCCGGGCGGTGAGTTCTGAATTTGTTGAATTTTGTGTATCATGGAGCTGGGGAAACCAGCGAGGAGGGCATTGGAATAGTCCACTGTGCCAGTGGTCAGCTCCTGCTCTCCTCTGCATGGTATCTTTGCAAACTGCTCTGAGATGTTCTCCCACCTGAAGGGTGCTATAGAAATTCAAGTTGGCATGCAGGGGTAGGGGGGTGGGTGGAGGAGGATGCAGCCAGACAGATATTATGTTGTCTACCACAAAATAGTTAATACACTTTACAGTATATCGTGAACGTTGTTATACCACATATGATTATTATGATTAAGACTCGCAAGCTCAATTTACTGAAAGATTGAGGTGAAGAAATCAGTGTAGAAACTGTGCTCCAATTGCATTTGTGTGTTAGCCTGGCTCCAATGGTCGTGCTCTCACCTCAAAGTCAGATTGTGGGTTCAAGCCCAACATTAGGACTTGGTATCACATGATCTAAGTTGACACTACAATGTAGTGCTGGGTGGGGGAAAGAGTTGTATTGTCGGAGGTGTCTTCAGATGAGATGTTAAACTGAGGTCATGCCTGCCTGTTCAATTGCTTGTTAAGATCCCATGGCACTATTCAAAAAGAGAAGCGAGTTTGCGCAAACTGGCTGATGGGTTTCACCCAGGAAATACACAGTAAACTCCACTTTACAGTATATTCTGTGAAGCGCTTTGAAATGTCTCGACAACGTAACATGAAAAGGCGCTACATCAAATGCAATTATTATTATTCCAGCTGCAAAGATGCATATGACAAATCTTCATAAAACAGTCAAACTGCCTTGAGTTATATTATTTGTGCATGCAGGACACAATTATTTAAAGCTGTTTGTTATCTGTGCCAAAAGAGCCCCTTTTTTTGGTGGGGGGGCGGGGGTGGTCGCAAGAATGTCAAACCTTCCAGCCAAGCTGTAAGATGTGCTGCCATCACTGTCACAATCAGCTCATCTGTGGTATCAGGGGAGAGGGAATGGATACTACCAACTGAATCAGTGCCAACAAGATCACCTTATTTACCAGGAAGTTCAGAAGTTGACAAACTGCTCCAGGATACCATGTGGGGAAGGTTAGCGATTGAGATACGGGTGTGTCATAGGCTCCATCACCCGAAGTCTATAAATACTCTTTGCTTACACACTCACAAACCTGATTCTTAGTTACCAGTAAAACTCTCATCACCACTCATGCATCAACTGCAAAATTAATTTCTGCAACATGTGAGCCTTCAACACATTGCTTCGATATGACTTGCTGTGCTCCCTTCACCCTCTGGAACGCCATCCCACTGTCCCTCTGCCTCACCCCCGCCTTGCCTCCATCTCAAGAACCCTCCCCTTAGACTGTGCTTTCGATCACCCTGCTTCCCCCCCTGCCCTCCACCCTCCCCGATCCCGACCCCCAGCTCGGGTCCGAAACTCTGACTGTCCAGCACCTTAGGACCTCCTCCCAATGTGAAAGGCGCTATACAAATGTCATTTTGTGTTGCTTGTATGAAAAGAATGTTTCTCTGCACAGAAAGGGGTCCGTTCAGCCCATTGTCTGCTAAGCTAATGTTGACAACAACCCCACTGGATGAACAACACGTTCCATGCCCACTTAAAAGCACAGCAATCATTACAGTGGGCTGCAGTTCACTGGTTCACCCACATGCAGAGTGAGCAGAAGACGTGAAAAGCGCTATATCAAATGCAAGGATTATTATTGTTACATCAGGAAAGAATCAAATGGTGGTGAAATAATTATAATGGAGCCATGTTTTAAGAATGTCAAGCAGTTTTCACATAAGACAACCGTGTTGCTTATGCACGCACAAATGTGATTCTTGGGCAAAAGTGAATTTAGCTGGCAGGCAAACAGTCTCCAAGTTTCTTGATTTAAATGGAAACATCCTTGACTTATGCTTTCATGGGGTGGTGGTGGGTTGGGGAGAACAACAGCAGCAAAATTACATTTGTACAGTGCCTTTCACGTCGGGAAGCCGTCCCAAGGCGCTGGACAGACAAAGTTACGGACCCGAGCTGGAGGGAGGGATGGGGGAGGGCAGGTGGGGGAAGCAACAACAACAACAACAAGATTCCATTTATAGAGCGCCTTTCAAGTCGGGAGGACGTCCCAAGGAACTACAGAGAGCAGGGAGATCGAACGCCCGGTCGAAGAGGATCTTGAGGTGGGTCTGAAAATAGCAAGGGAGGGGCGAGACGGAGGGACTGTGGGATGGAGTTCCAGAGGATGGGTGCAGAGTGGCGCAAGGCCTCCTACCAATAATAATAATCCTTGCATTTGATATAGCGCTTTTCACGTCGGGAGGACGTCCCAAAGCGCTTCACAGAATACACTGTAAAGTGAATTGACTGTATATTTGTGGGCAAACGCGGCAGCCAATTGTGCACAGCAATGTTTCACAAACAGCCGTAGATTGATAATGACCAATTTATTGTTTTTGTTTTTTGGAGGGATTATTATTAGGCTCTGTGTGGAGTAAGGAAACTTGCCCAAGTTTTCGCCCTCCCTGGAATTGAACTCAGGTCTATTGCTTGCAAAGTGAGTGCTCTAACCACTGAGCCACAGGACTCCACAACAGTGGGGTGAGCAAACCGGAGCCTGCTAAGCAGAGGGAGCGAACAGGATGGCAGGGTTTAGGAGGTCGGAGGGAGCAAGGCCATGGAGGGCTTTGAAGGTGAGGAACAGGATCTTGAACTGTATCCTCTGTGTGACGGGAAGCCAGTGGAGTTGGGCGAGGTTGGGGGTGATAGGGTTGTGGAGTCTAGTGCGGGAGAGAACGTAGCTCAGTGGTTAGAGCACTCGCTTTGCAAGTGAGAGACCTGAGTTCAATTCCAGGCAGAGGGCGAAACCTTGGGCAAGTTTCCTCACTCCACACAGAGCCTAATAATAATCCCTCCAAAACCAAAAACAATAATAAATTGGTCATTTTCAATCTACGACTGTTTGTGGGACATTGCTGTGCACAATTGGCTGCCGCGTTCGCCCACAAATATACAATCAATTCACTTTACAGTGTGTTCTGTGAAGCGCTTTGGGACGTACTCCTGACGTGAAAAGCGCTATATCAAATGCAAGGATTATTATTATTATTATAACGTGAGCTGCAGAGTTCTGGACAATCTGCAGCCTGTGGAGGAGGAGTTGGGGAGGCCGACAAGCAATGAGTCTGCACAGTCGAGCCTCGATGTAATGAAACCATGTATGAGGGTTTCAGCAACCTGCATGAGACAGTGTCGGAGCCGGGCGACATTGCGGAAGTGGGGGAAGGCAGAGATGTGGGTTAGAAAGGATAGTTGAGGGTTGAACAAGACGCCAAGGTTCCAGACTGGCTTAGCAGTGTGGAATGTGCAAACATGGATGGTGATGCTCTCAGCGCCTGAGGTGAGGAGCTGACGGGAGCCAATCAGGAGGGCCTCGATCTTGTTGACGCTCAACTGAAGAAAGTTAGCTCTCATCCAGGACTTGATGTAGGACAGACATTCTGTCAGCACAGGAATGGTTCTGGAGTCAAGGGTGCAGGCAGAGAGATACAGTTGGTTGTCATCTGCATATATGTGGAAGTTGACCCCATGTCTGTGGATAATCTCACCAAGAGGGAGCGTATAGATATTGAAGAGGAAGGGACCAAGTAGAAAGCCCTGAGGAACGCCGCACGAGACGGTCTGGGGACTAGAAGAGAAGCCGTTTGAGGAGATGAAGTGCAGGCGGTGCGAGAGGTACGATCCGAACCATTCAAAGACAGCGCCGTGGAGGTTGAGGTGAGAGGAGGTGGTGGATGAGGATAGAATGGAAGTGGGGAAGAGAGAGAAATTAAGTTACATCTGTACCTCGTCATAAGTGTAGTCCCGCTCCGATCCAGCCCAGGCCGGGCCGCTCGGAGAGGTGAAAGTGATACCATCATCCTTTTTGTTATCATCATCGTCAAGCACTAGAGACAAAACAAATCACTTATTAAAAAGGACCAAGAACCATAACACCTAACAGGGTATAATCTTCATCAGAGTGAGACAACGTTAGAGCGAGTGGAGGAAGGGATAGCTCAACCACCCTTTTCATCTTTGCACTATCACTCCACTTGACAGTCTTATATATACAATATAAATGGAATGGGATAGCTTGGATTGTAGAATAATGCTCTTGCCTCAGCTCCTGTAACCCGACTTGGTTTTTCAAAATTCTACAATACAACCTTAAATGTAACTCAGACCCAGTCCATTTGACAGGCACCATTTAATGTGCTGCAATCGCATTTGCACAAGCTGCCTGAAATATTTATAAAAGGAGTGATGGAGAAGCGCAGCTATAGCGAATACTTGAGAGATGCACTGGACAACTGAAGAGCTTTAGGTGATCATTTAGTTGATATACTCACTATTGTCCATCTTCTCATTACACGACTCTTCCTCAAACATCACAACCTTTGGTTTCTTCTTCCTCATTGTGCTCAGAATGAAGGAGTCATCCTCCACCTCCCCTGGCTCAGTCAATTCATTTTCAATCTTCAAATCCTGACAAAGCCCCCAAAAAATCCAAATAAGCCACGTTTAGTTTTTAACATTCACAAAAATACACTGGTGAAGAGGCCCAACACTGGTTGGGAAAACACAGTAGTGAGCGAGTATGGTCTTTCTGGTGTTAATGGAATCTGGGTAAACACCTATGAATAATAAGGTTCCACAGGTGTTCTCAAAGTTCCCACACGCAATAAGAACATGAAAGTAGAATATACACTAATTCATGTGTCAGCAGGGTACATCATAACCCATCCTGAATTCACACCAGCAATGCCTTACAGCCCACCCCTGTCATCAGCAATAAGCAAAGGTTGCCCTGGCTTTCTCCAATAGAAACTGAGGCAACTCTTCCCATTCAACTTGTTGGCAGCAGTTCTTTAGCTTAGTCAAGCAGGTCAGCTATTCTCTCCTGATGTGGGGCTACTGTGACATGAGGGGTTGGTGGAAAGAGGAACTGGACAATGCAGAGGAACAGCAATGTATCAAAAAGCTTCAGTATAAAATGAACTTTTTTTGGTAACGAAAACATCTTCTAGGGTTAAAAGAATTTAGTTCCATAGAATCAATTATTTTCCACTTATACTCAGTGCTGAACACTTCCAGTTCATAACACACGACATGGAATTGCCCATAAAGGCTTTACCCCAGTTTCAGGAATGCCTGTGGCTGTGAGCTCTCTCTAAGAACCAGTTTGTGGCTTGCCAAAATTATGACCCTTACAATTGGAAGAGCAAATACAAACACATATCCCAGAGGTGAAATATCAGCTCATGGCATCACTTGGCTCTTTTTTTAAACAATTGGAAAATTAACAATCAATTTGGGACATAATTATACAACAAAATGGGTCTTAAAGGTGCAGAATAATCAGAAACCGGTGGTTTTAGTGAGATCAACACGGCTGGTTGCATTTAGAACAACTTCAGGAAATTATGGACACATTAAATTCATTTTTGCTCCCCACAATGTAGGCGAACAGTCTGAGAACTCTGGTTAATTACTTGTAAGGTGTGATTTTTTATGAAATTTCCCAATGAAAGGAAAAGCGATTAGTTGAGCCAGCAGCGAGTAGCAAGATTGCAAGTGGTGACAAAATGTTAACGATCTTTCCAAAGCAGTAAGGAGTTGTTCTCAGCAAACAACCACTTTGAAACTGGATTTCCACTCACTGTGTGAAGGAATTATATACTCAGATAATAAACTCCATGCTGGTAAGAATGTGCAGTGTNAAAAAAAATGCTGTTAGGCTCTGTGTCGCTATCACCCCCACCCTCACTAGGCGCCATTTGCTCCCCACAGCACAGAGTTCAAAATCCTTCCTACCTCTGTGACCCGCTAACGTCATGTCGACCTGTCCTCTCCCTCCGTCCAGCAGGCTCCGGCCTGCTCCACCTCCCACGCAGCCCACCCTACCATCGGCATTCAGGCCTTCAGCCTTTCTGCCCACACCCTTTGGAACTCTATCCCACATTCCCTTCGCCTCGCTCCTTCCCTAGCCTTCTTCAAAGCATGTCTCAAGACCCTCTTCTTCGACTGCACCTTCGGTCACCCTCCTACCCTTAGCCTCCAACCCTCCTGATCCCAAACCCCTGTGCGGGTCCAAATCCCTGAGTATCCAGCGCCTTGGGACATCCTCCCGATGTGAAATTACTCTTAATTACTAACTACAAGTTACAGTTGCTGGAACCAAATCTATAGTTAGGTTCTCCGAAACTAACAATTTAACTCTAATCTAATAAATTTGCCCAGTTACTCTAGTATAGTTAACCCTTCAGCATTATGTGTGGGTCACAACATTATTCCACATCAGGCTTTTATGTCACACTAAGGGTGCACCTCTGCTACTTCAGCTCTGATCCTATTTAGTTTGGGATAACTTACACTGAGGAAAATGGTCCAAAATATCAGTCAGATCACACAATTGTTCGTTTGTAAAAATTACAAGAAAAAACCCATTTCATATAGCACTGGGACTGTTAACAATGACAACTTTACCCACAACTTTTCCTGGGCCTTCACCCTTTGGTTGCACAAAACTTAAATATGCCCTTATGGAAGGCAAGTGAACTCTCAAACTATGGGGAAATAAAAGTGGTCTTAGAAGGAAATTGGCACCTTCTAAGGATAATTTTATCGTACACTATTGGATCAGCAGCTGTCAATTTACACAGAAAAATTGATTCATTCTGCAAAATAAGGGCAGCAATTTAGCAAGTTGCATTGGATAATGCAATTGTGGTACACATCTGCCACTGACCTTTACACCATCGTCAATGTCAAAGGCTTTCTTGGGTTTTTTCTTTTTCTTCTTCTGATTGAAGAAATCCAAGTCATCTAAATCATCTGTTGTGTCTAGAATAACAAAAAGGAGTCCTGTAGCTCAGTGGTTAGAGCACTCACTTTGCAAGTGAGAGACCTGAGTTCAATTCCAGGCAGAGGGCGAAACCTTGGGCAAGTTTCCTTACTCCACATGCCTAATAATAATCCCTCCAAAAAAACAAAACAATAATAAATTGGTCATTTTCAATCTACGACTGTTTGTGGGACATTGCTGTGCGCAATTGGCTGCCGCGTTCGCCCACAAATATACAGTCAATTCACTTTACAGTGTGTTCTGTGAAGCGCTTTGGGACGTTCTCCCGACGTGAAAAGCGCTATATCAAATGCAAGGATTATTATTATTATTATTAAAAGGATTAAGGTTTCTATCACTGCTCATCATGCACAAAGCAGCCAAAACTTTAATGAATTGTTAAATGTTTAAAGAGGTCTAAAATTTTAAATATAAATCCCATAAATAGGTACAGGATGAACCTATTTCAAAAAAGTTTACCTTTTTTCTTGGTGTCCTCATCATCTGCGTCAAGTGCCTTTTCCTCCACGCTCTCGGACAGTACTGTTTCCTTCGACTCTGTGGTCGGCATCTCCTCTGGCTGCTGCTCGGTGCCATCTTCCTCCAGCATGAAGGGCTTCTTCTTTTTCTTCTTCTTTTTAGTCATTGTGGGATCGAAAATCATCTGTTGGAGAGAAGTAATCCAGGCATTGTCAGTCCTGTAAAGCCTGTAGTTTTAAATCTCCACTATCAAACTTGAAGTTTCACCCAGCACCCGTCATGTAAGAGAACAGCAAAGAGCTTTTGAAAACTAGTGCAAAACTTCCACAAGTATAGTGAAGCGCTTAATTAGATCACTGGCTTTTCAGGGCTAGTGACATAACCTCCAAAGTACAGGATGACCAAAGAAACGTGACCAGAGTGACCATAAAAACATCTACCAAGTCTTAAAGAAATTATATTTTTTTTAGATAATAGGTTACTACGACTGTTTGGTCACCTTTTACAAGTGAAATCTCTAAAGCATTGTATAAGGCAATTAGTATACCTCACTAGTTCCCTATAAACTTAATATTGTGAAAGTCTCATCAGAATGAATAAGCTGGAGACTTGCCTACCGATAACGTGGGAAATCTTTTTTGGTCAGCCAAGTGTCTGACATATGCTTCACCATGCTTAAAGAATACCCAAACCAAACAGAGTTTCATTCATTCCACCTATACATGGAAATTCTCAAGATATTTATTGGAATGAAAGGCGCACGCTCTCCTTGGGAGGGATGCACCCTGCTTATCTCATTCCTAAGAGTTGGCAACATGGGAGTCTAAGCTGCTAAAACTACATGGCTTACCACCGAAAGTATATGCGTCAGAATGAGGTCTGTTGAACAGCGCTAGGAGGGCAGCTCAAGGCAAATTGGAGGTTCCTGGCTTGGATCTGTAAGATCCTCACCATTGTCCATAAGGGGAGCTTTTAGGAACTCAGCATTAATGTGATCTGCACCTGCTGCCTTACCACAAGCAAGGCAGTGCAATGCAGAGTCCATCTCCACCCAACAGATTGATTGGGTCATTAAGGCCTTGAATCTGTTCCAAACTTCCACCAGGTCTTCCATCAAGCATTGCAGATGGATCTCTGCTATGGCCTTTTGGGTCAGACAGCAACTCCTCATAATGCTTCCTCAAGATCCCAAAGGGTACTCTCATGGGCTCTGTTGCAGAACACTGGACTTGTCCAACACTGGCATGAGCCCAGAGGGACCGTTCTGGCCATGACCGATAACAAACTTAAGCCCACTGAGGAAAGGTGAAAAAGGCAGAAAAAACGGTGGTAACTAAGCCTCATGACTGACATTGCCCAACTCTATTCATTATGCCCCAGCAACCATTTTTAGGTTATATTCCATTGCCTGAAACAAGAATGGCACCATTGACTTGGTTCAACCCTTTGGGACGTCCTCCCGACATGAAAGGTGCTCTATAAATGTAATTTTGTTGTTGTTGTGTAATGACAGCAGATATGGCTGCAGAAAGACAGGGGGTGAATCCCTCTGAAAACTGATCTCAGTCAGGGTAATTAGCTGTGAGGTGCTCAGTCCCTTTGGACCAGGAGCGGGCGGTGAGAAAGATGACAGGAGAGATTTGCAATAAGATCCATCAGCCTATTTGACCTACAGAACCATCACGTTCTGGCCAACAATTCCACAGATAAAATTAGTTGCTCACTTCACGGCCGTTTTTGAGAAGTCACTGTGCGCAAGCTGGCCGCCGTGGTGGCCTACAAAACACAGTCACTACACTTTACAGTAAATCCTATGAAGCACTTTGAGACATTTCGACATCATAAAGCACTGTATCAAATGTAAGGATTTTTATTGATATTCTGGAATTATCAATATCTCTGGGGTTCCAACTCCCGAGGAATATCCAGACACATACATGTCCCTGGTTGCTGGCTCGGGAGGAGGGAGGGCGGGGGAGGGAGATGAAGAGGACTTTCCTGCTAGGAATCCAGCAGGTCAAGCCCACGTTTGCCGGCCCGGCCCTCCCAAGGCCTCGGCGCCTTCATAGAAAGGAAGAGGGAAAGGCTCAGTTCATCGACCCGGAGCCAAAGCAGCGCGAACGACAAAGTCTCATTCCCCACGAGCTGAGGAGACAAACTGGAGAGGGCGGGCGGGTAGGCCTCAGGCCTCGCCGGCTCGCAACACGCGGAACTCGAAGCACAAAACGGAGGAGAAACGAGAAGCGCGACCCCCACCTCGTCTCCGGACATGTTTGCGGCTTCTCCCTCCACTCTCGGGCTGTGCAGGGCGGTGAGACGGGGATGTTTTCAGGCCCGGTTTCAATCGGGGGTGGGGGGGGGGATTTGAATAAAACGACCGCTCACTCGCTCACGCGCCTCGGCCTCTCCTGTCACAGCCAGGCCCCGCTTAATCTAACTTGATGCCGCAGATCCCGCCCCCCCACTCCCCAACCCCGTCACCATTGGTCACCTTCCGTTGCGCGGTCGCCAATCGCCGCGTTGATTGGTCTTCCGCCATGTCGATCAAAACTGTCACGTGGTGCTGAGCGGGGGTATCAGGTTAGGTTGAGCCCTCACAGTTGCATCATCTTAAACGCCCCCGAAAAGCCGGCTATACGCATGCGCACTGCTCGGCCAGAACGCCATGCGTAGCAACTGGTGCGCATGCGTTATTCATCGCATTGACCTATGGGAGTTATAGTTCCTCAGGTGCAGTAAAGAGGCAGTTCTCATCAGTCTCATATACTGTAACGTGAAGAATTTACAGGAGATAAGATTGGGTCACCCACTCCATGGCTGTCACCTCGCTGTGTGCAAATCGACTGCTATATTGGCCTACGAACTATATTTTACAATAGAATCCTGCAAAGCACTTTGAGACGCCTCGATGACATGATACAGCGCTGCATCATACTAAAACCCTCATTCAAACCTTTGTCGCCACCCAGCCTAGACTATTCAAACAGGCTCCTCGCTGGCCTCCTGAGCTCCATCATCCATCATCCAAAAGCTCCAATTTATCCATACCTCCGCTGCCTGCATCCTCACCTGGTGGCTGAGATACTATATGCCTCTACCCTCTGTAACCCCCATCAAACCTATCTCCTTCGCCATGCCTATGGTCACCTCCCCCCATTCCCTCATTTGAGGTCTTTCTGAAGCACTCAGGAAATATTATCCTACATGAATTCAAATTTGGAATGATCTGCCTGAAAGGGCAGTGAAGTCTGATTCGATAACAACAACAACAACAACAAGATTCCATTTATAAAGCGCCTTTCACGTCAGGAGGACGTCCCAAGGCGCTGCACAGTTGGGTCATGACCCGAGCAGGGGGGAAATGGTCAGGGTGAGGGGAGGGAAGGGAGGGAGCGAGGAGGGGGAAGAGAGTCGAGAGGGGAGCTGAAGGCTCGGTCAAAGAGAAAGGTTTTGAGACCGGCCTTGAAGGAGGAGAGGGAGGAAGCGGCGAAGGCACTGGGGGATAGAGTTCCAGAGCCTCGGGGCTGAGAGGCTGAAGGCCCGACCACCGATGGTAGGGCGATTGGGGCGGGGGACGTGGAGCAGACCGGAGCCGGAGGAACGGAGGGTACGGGCAGGTAGGTAGGGGGATAGTAGGTTGGAGAGGTAGGAGGGAGCAAGGCCGTGAATGGCCTTGTAGGTGAGGATGAGGATCTTGAAATCAATCCTCTGGGGGATGGGGAGCCAGTGGAGGCGAGCGAGGGCGAGGGTGGGAGTGATGTGGTCCCGAAGCCTGGTGCGGGACAGTACACGAGCTGCAGAGTTCTGAATGACCTGCAGCTTGTGGAGGGAGGTGGCGGGAAGGCCGGCGAGGAGAGAGTTCCCATAGTCCAGCCTTGAGGTGACAAAGGCGTGAACCAGGGTTTCAGCAGCGTGAGGGGTGAGGTAATGCCGTAGTCTGGCGATATTCCGGAGGTGATGGAAGGCGGTGCCAGTTGTGGTGCGGATGTGAGGGAGAAAGGACAGCTCAGGGTCGAACAAAACGCCGAGGTTCCTGACTGGCTTTGAGAGGTGGAGAGTGCAGCCTTGGATGCTGATGGTGTCGGCGCCTGAGGTGCGGAGGCGCTGACGTGAGCCAATCAGGAGGGCCTCGGTTTTTCGCACGTTGAGCTGAAGAAAGTTGTCTCTCGTCCAGGACTCGATGTCGGACAGGCAGGCTGTCAGGACATCGGTGGTCGTGGAGTTGAGAGTAGAGGAGGAAAGGTAGAGTTGGGTGTCATCCGCATACATGTGGAAGTTAACTCCATGTCTGCGGATGATGTCACCAAGGGGGAGCATATAGAGGGTGAAGAGGAGGGGACCGAGGACAGAGCCCTGAGGGACACCACATGAGACAGTACGGGGGGTGGAGGAGAAGCCATTCGTCGAGACAAAGTGAAGACGGTGAGAAAGGTACGACCTAAACCACTCAAGGACAGTGCCTTGAAGGTTGAGGTGGGAGGACAAGCGGTGGAGTAGGATAGCGTGGTCGACCGTATCGAATGCTGCCGATAGGTCGAGGAGGACGAGGAGGCAGAGGGAGCCCTGGTCACAGATGGTCAGGATATCATTGGTGACCTTGACCAGGGCAGTTTCTGTGCTATGGGCAGCACGGAAACCTGACTGAAGGGGTTCGAAAAGTGAATGGGTGGAAAGGAAAGAGCGCAGTTGGGAGGCGACAACTCTTTCCAGGACCTTGGAGAGAAAGGGGAGGTTGGAGATGGGCCGGTAGCTTGATAGCTGCGACGCATCAAGGGAGGGTTTTTTCAGGGTGGGCGTGATGATGGCAGTTTTTAAGGGAATGGGGACAGAGCCAGAGGAGAGGGACAGGTTGATGATGTCGGTGATATGGGGGGCAAGAAAGTGGAGATAAGGAGTGGAGTGGGGATGGGGTCAAGGGAGCAGGTGGTTGGTTTTAGGAATAGGATGAGTTTGGTGACAGAGGGTGGGGAAACGGGTACAAAAGTGAGTAGGGGAGGATGGGTAGCAGTCGGAGTGTGGGAGTGAGGGGGTGGGTGGGGGGTGGGTGGATGTTGGAGGGGAAGTGACCGCGGAGCGGATTCCCTTGATCTTGGATTCAAGGAAATCCAGCATCTCCTCGCAGTGAAGGTTGGAGGAGATGACCTGCGCGGGGTGGCGGGGGGGACGGAGGAGTCGGGTTGTGGTGGAAAACAGTAGCCTGGGGTTGTTCTTCGCCTCCAGGATTATCCTGGATAACAGCTTTTAAGAGAGAACTGGACAGGTATCTGGGGAAGACGGGTTTGCAGGATTATGGGGAAAAAGCTGGTGATTGGGGTTAGTGAAAGTGACGCTCTGTCAAAGAGCCGCACAGACTCAATAGGCCGAATGGCCTCCTTTTGTGCCGTAACATTCTATGAATCTATGAAATCTATGAAGGGAGTTATATAAATGCAAGTTCTTGATGTATCTCTTTGACTGCACTTTATCTTCTTCATCCCCTACCTTCCTTTTTAGTAATCTCTTAACCAGGCTGATTAATATTAATATAATAGAAGCTCCAATAGCTCGGTTTCTTTCAGACAGTAGTGATAGGCTACAGTCAAGTTAATCAGATATAGTTTATTTCAGAGAGATACATTTAAATAATTCATCTTTATGACACACAAAATGTCCAACAGACTTTGGAATAACCTTGTAAAAACGTGCAACAGGTTAGAAGGAAATTATAACACAACAACAAAATTACATTGTATAGTGCCTTTCACAGCGGGAGGATGTCCCAGGGCACTGGACAATCAAAGTTTCGGACCCGAGCTGGGGGGGGGGGTCGGGATCGGGGAGGGTAAGGGCAGGAGGGAAGAAGGGTAACCGAAGGCATGGCCGAAGATTGGATTATTGAGACAGGTCTTGAAGGAGGCAAGGGAGGGGGCAAGGCGGAGGGACTGCGGGATGGAATTCCAGAGGGTGGGGGGAGAGTGGCTGAAGGCTCCGCCCACCAGTGGTGGGGTGGGTGAGGCAGGGATGGGAAGCAGGCCGGAGCCCGATGAATGGAGGGAGCGGGCAGGTTGGTACGGGGTTAGGAGGTTGCAGAGGTAGGGTGGGGGGCAAGGATGTGGTGTGGAAAAGGGTCAAACAAGGTTGAGGGTCAAACAAGGTGCTAAGGTTCTGGACTGGCTCGGTGAAGCGGAGTGTGCATCCATGGATAGTGATCCTGTCAGTGCCTGAGGTGTGCAGGCAATGATGGGGGCAAATCAGAAGAGCCTCGGTCTTGTTGATGTTCAGCTGCAGAAAATCAGCTCTCATCCAGGACTTTATGTCTCACAGACATTCTGTTAGGACAGCAGTGGTCCTGGAGTCGAGGGTGGAGGTAGAGAGATATAGTTGGGTGTCATCCGCAAACATGTGGAAGTTGATCCCATGTCTGCTCACCAAGAGGGAACATATGATATTGAAAAGAAGGGGACCAAGGACAGAGCCCTGAGAACGTCGCACAAGACGGTGTGGATGCCAGAGGAGAAACTGTTTGTGGAGATGAAGTAGCGACGGTGTGAGAGGTAGTATCTGAACCATTCAAGAACAGAACTATGAAGGTTGAGGTGAGAGGAGAGGGGTTGGAGGAGGGTAGAGTGGTCAACAGTATCGAAGGCAGCGGAAAGGTCAAGGAGGACGAGGAGGCAGAGGGAACCCTCGTCGCAGATGGGCAAAATGCCATTTGTCAATTTGACCAAAGTTGTTTCTGTGCTATGGGGACACGGAAATCCAATTGGAGGGATTCGTGAAGGGAATGGCGGGAGAGGAAGGAGTAAAGCTGAAAAGCAACGACTTGTTCCAGGAGCTTGGAAAGGAAAGAGAGGTTGGAGATGGGGCGGTAATTTGAGAGCAGGGATGGGTCCAGGCAGGGTTTTTTAAGGATAGGAGTGATGACAACAACAACAATAAGAACAAAATTGCATTACACAGCACCTTTCACGTCAGGAGGATGTCCCAAGGCACTGGACAATCAGTGTTTCGGATGACGGACATTTTTAATGGGGTGGGAATGGTGCCAGTGGACAGGGAGAGGTTATGATGCCAGTGAGTAGAGGGGCAAGGAGGTGGAGCTTGGAGGTAAGGAGAGGGCTAGGGATGGGGCCGATGGAGCAGGTGGTCGGTTTCATGTGGGTTATAGTGGTGGTGAGAGGAGGGGGAGACAGGTTCGAAGGTATGGAGGGAGGGATGTGTAGAAACCGAGGTGTGAGGGGGAGATGGGGAGGGGGTAGTAGACGGAAGGGCAGAGGCAGCTGACTTTGGTTTCGAGGAAGTCCAGCATCACTTCGCAGTTGGCGTTGGAGGACAGGATGAGCGAGGCATGAGAGGGTGGGCGGAGGAGCCAGTTGATGGTGGAGAAGAGGAGCCTGGGGTTGTCCTTGGCCTCCAAGATTGTCTTGGAGTAAAAGGACGATTTAGTGAAGGTGAGGGCGAAGCAATAAGTTTTGATAAGGTCCA